TATATATATATATATATATATATATATATATATATATATATATATATTTGAAACCATGGCATGATTCTTGTTTACATTCGATGTAAGATTATGTGTGTTGTAATTATCTTTTCTTTTGTTTCATTCAAAAGCTCAGTAAATTATAGTTTCAATTAAACAATATACAAGATGCTAAAATATGAACTCCAGACTTATCAAATGTGAATAATATACTAAGATAATCTCCATAGAGACCACAAATTGCAATGTTGATATTTGATTTGATGTTATATTTATATCGTCAAAGATTTGTGATTTATTTTTCTTTTTTTCTAATTCAAGAAAGCCAAAAAATTACTCGAGGGGTGAATGACATTATTACGATCTGCTTCTTGCATTATCCATTAAATATTATGATTCGAATCCATGTGTAAGCATCATATATGCCTACATAATCATTGTTGTGGCATCCATTTCATCGTTAGACCAGATCGATTAGCTTCAACATCAAGAGACAACAGCCAAATTATATGCTTTTGGAATGGGGAAACCTTATGAATCAATCTCTTTACTGTTCCCTATAAGATGAAATAACAACGAAAATACAAAAAAAAAAAAAAAAAAAAGGTTTTTGCTCACGCATATCATTTCATATTTGTTGAAAGAACTCGGGACATAATAATTCGTGCTTACAAGTTTCTCTCGGAAATAATAAAGGAAGTGGGGGTCATTTGCGGAGCACTAATGATCTACAAATAAGAAAAAACGTAGGTGCGTGAGAGTTAATCCCACAAGGTTTCGACAGAGTACTGTGAGTATTACTGAAATCATCTAAAAAAATACTTGCCCAAAATGCCTCTTCGATTAGTGAGAAAGGAGAGAAATCACTAGGGATCAGTTGTCGGACGGAAACCATTCAAGAGTCTCGCCCGCAAACATAGGCACTATTTCTCCGGATGTGTATGGATACGAGTCAGGTACTTTCCAGGGACTCTTCCTCAATTTGACCTTTGAAGTGTTTCTTGGAAGTCCATAGAAATCAGGGCCATTGAAGCTTGTAAAGGCCTCCAGTTTGTCAAGTGAACCAGCCTGATCGGAAAAAAAAAATCAAGAGACTTGATTAGAACAACTTAATGAATAATAATCACATAAATGGTTATGTATTCAGGTTTAGAACCGGAAATTTCCGACATAACCTGCTCAAATACTTTAGCGTAAAGGGATAACGCAACAGGAGCATTGTATATTCCCGCACATCCACAAGGACATTCTTTCTTTTGTCTCTCATGTGGAGCACTATCGGTACCAAGAAAATAACGATTGCTACCTCTTGTTACAGCTGATACGATAGCTTGTCCTACAGAAGACGACAAATAGAAGTGATACTATCAGCATAAATTAAAACTTCAGCAAACTAATGAATTGACCAGTTAAACTATCTTAATTCCTATACAAACTAGAATATGGTCAAAACTAGAAATGCGACAAACCTGAGAAAAACCACTGTGGAATAAAAGGAAATAAACCAAATGGTGATGTTATCATGTTTTTAAGCACTAAATCTTTTAAATAAGCACTAGAATGACTCCTTTAAGTTATGATAGAATCTGTAAAATGAAAAATATGCTTACGTAGTAGTATATAAAAAGGAGTCACTAAGGACAACAAACCAAAAACATCCATATATTAATTTTGGTAAGTTGTTCCTAAGCAAGAGCATCAGTATTTAGGTTGCCAGTCGTTGCATGTGATTCCTGACTTTCCACAAGTGTTATAAACAGTTGAAGTATTCCATAGTAAATGCAAGAAAAAAAAATTTTTCTGTTGGCAAAGGGAGCAGTTGCACGTACTATGAATCTCTCGTTTTAGTACTGGAAGGCAGTAATTGTGAGGCTGTAGTCCACCTTGAAATAAGGAATTTCTGTTCAGAAGAAGGTGCTGTGGCGTGACAGTGGCAGCAACAGAACCTAATAACGAAAATATATCAAAATATATAATAAAGATAAAAGTAAGCTCAGTGCATGAGATTTCAACAATGTGCGGGATAAAGAGGGTCAATGCAGTCTTCCTCCAGGTAGAGAATTGTTTTGTTGGTCTGAACCCTTGACACCCATGAAGCATAAAAATACAACCACACCATAGTGCAAAGGCTCATCCTTACTGAATTATAGAAACATGAAAAAAAGGAAGAAGAAAAAAATAATTCATTCTGAAGCCTACCTTCATTGCATGATTCAATAAATTTAACTGCGTCCATCGTGGTAATATGTTCCATTACAACTTTCAGATGAGGAAGCTTTATTAGTAGTGGTGATAAAATAGTCTCAATGAAGACCCTTTCTCTGTCAAATATATCAATATTCGGATCTGTCACTTCCCCATGCACCTGTTATAAGTTTTACATGAAGAAATCAGCCTCAAGATTACACCCTCGATAATAAGGCAATAAGTAAAAAAGAAGGAAATCTTTAGTGTACAAAATATTATTTACAGTAAAGCTAATTAAAGAATTTTTTGATCAACTAGACATTTCCTCAGAAGAAACTTAAGTAATTTCTCTAATACATAGTTATTTTACTGAGTAAAACTCAGAGTATGGTAAACCGATAAGAAGGAATAAACTAACACATACCAACAGTGGCATATTATGTTTTGCCATTTCTTCTAGGACAGGCAAACACTTCCCAAAAATATCAGTGACTCCATCTTGAGAATTGGTAGTTGCTCCAGCAGGATATAATTTTACAGCAAATACCACTCCACTTTTTCCTGAAAGCTAAAATCAGCAAAAAATGGAAAGAAGAGCTAGTAACAGGAAACTGGATCAGAGCCAAACTTTTAGTGAGCCATCAGTTCCCTTTATTATAAGGAAGAACATAAAGCATATTAAGTAGCCTGAGAAAAAAAAGAGAGAGATAGAACATATAGTACGGAAAAAGTTCAAATGGATGTATTTTTTTCTAATTCTTTCTAAAAATAAGTCTTATTGAGCGCATGTTTTCTTGAGTAGTTGAACACAAGGTAGTGTATGTGCAAAATGCAGAAGCACATGCATTCACAAGCACATATTTAAAAAAAAAAATCAAAGTAATTAGTATAAATAAGAAATATGGTGATGAATAAGTGTGAAAGAATGATAGGTAGAAATATATTAAAACAAAACAAAAGAATCTTACGGATTCCATTTATACTGAGTTAAGAACTTTTTATGTGATAAGGTGTGGAAGTGAGTCAAATTTATGTTATCATGGACACCAAGATGGTACAAGTAGTTGAAACAATACTACAAATAACAAGAAAATACAAACTAAACCATGCATGCGATCGTCTATTCTATTCTAAGTGGTTTATTCAGAAAGAGAAACCAAACAATTTGGCATAGCACCCAAAAGAAGAAGACGAAAAAAAGGAGCTCACTGGCAAGCTTGATCTCTTCGGGGCTGGTGTTGTCTGTGAGGTACAGGGTCATGAGGGGATCGAATCGACTGTCGGGTGGCAGAGCCTTTAAGATGGATTGGCGGTACGCCACCGCTGCAGCGGTGGTGGTGATGGGGGGCTTCAAGTTGGGCATCACGATCGCCCTTCCAAAATGCCTTGCGCTGCGTCGTCATGATCACGAATCACCCATCAAATTCCCCCTTTCTTTGTCCGTCGTAATCGAAAAGAAGAGGAGATCGAGAGGCCTATCACCTACCTGTGGGAGACGACGGCGCGGAGAAGGTCGCCCTCGCGCAGATGGAGGTGCCAGTCGTCGGGCCGCGTCAATGAGAGCTCCATCCTCGACCCGGCCGATCTCACCACCAGGCTACGCCTGCTTCCCTTGTCGGAACTCGTCTGGAGAGGGATCCAAGCACGGGTAGCAACGTAGCAGCCGGCCTGCATCGAACTCGACCAGTATTCACAGGTAGCGCAAAACGAAGCCTAGCGATCGACCTCGTACTTTTAACGGACCAGATCGACGGCTTTGATTAACTGGGCTAACTAGTGGGCCATTGATTCGGACCATAATTGACGCGGGCCCAAAATGACACAAATGGGGGCTTTACGGGCCGGATTAAAAGGCTCATGTAGTAACTCATGAGAAATTTTATCGATGTTATTCCATAATTTTATTATTTTATCCCTAATGTACAATTAATATTTTATTTTTTTATAAAATTAACGATATAAATATCACGATTTCATTAAAAAATTAAAGTATTTTATTATAAATTAAATGTAATATTATTTCTTATGATTATCTTATTTTTATTAATCTAAATAATATATTTTCATATTATTTTTTTGTATTTATATTATAATATTATTTTAAACCGATTTAAATTAATAGGTCGAATTGATTTGAAAATTAGTGGGTTGATTGAATCCGATTCAATTGAAAGGAAAAGAGGAGAGAAAATGCCTCTCAAACTCGTTGAGAGTATTTTTTTTATCCTGTTGAAAATAGCACTCTGCCTAGTGGGAAAAACCCAAAATTGATGACTTTTATAGGGAATTTACCCAATATCCAATCTGCATTACATCTCATTGAAATAACATAGAAGTAATTTTAAGTAACGAATTTTTGGCTTGGCACTTACATTTCCAACCTATGCCCATGCATAATTAGACATGGATCTTTGGGTTATTTGGGCTAGAGAGAACACAAAGCCCAACCATACATAACTGGACATGGTGTGGATGTCTCCAATACGACAGCTTAAGATAAGCTGCAGTGTGTCAAACCCACTCTACTCAAGCCGAGACAGGACCAAGAATACTTGCATGTGTAAATATGAAAAGGGAACATTGTGGTTTTTAGTCTTGTTATTAGAGAGATTATTTTCGTACTTTTAAACCATGATGATCACTTAAATATAAAAGGAGTGATTTGATTATGACACCAAGGTGCAGTTTTTAAGTTGGGCATGAATAGATGTCTAAGATCCAGACGTGAACTCTGCATGTAGCACAGGTCGACTCGTACATAATTAGCCTATCTACCGGCCAAATATTTATGAACAAAGATCAACCTTATTCATGGACTTTATTCTAGTACTTGACAAAAGTGAACAGGCACATGCCACTAAGTCTGCTTGGAAGAAGGGGAAAAAGCAAAAAAAATCGGAAGGTCAACCAAAATCTCAAGACTTCCATCTTCTTCTCCTAGCTCGAGATGGATGTCAGGTGAGACACCACAATGAGATGTGAATCCCACAAACCCTGCTCTTTCCATTCTTGGATGCCATTTTCCCTGCAATCTGACAGAACCACACAAGGGCAGGCAATCCAACGTGAAATGCAAAGGGGGACAGCACAATCGAGTGTTGGTTGGTGCCATCAAAGTAGGACTGCACTCTTAGCTGCTAGAATCTGAAATCCATCCTTCCCTCTTCATTTCCAAGGTATTCTTGGACACTCGAGTGCAGCATGGAAATGAATGTGACCATGGGTAGAAGAAGGATTAGGATCTGATTGATTTGATCCCACAAACAAACAATTGGATGCGTCAATGGACTCCTCACTAAGAAATCGATGGGCTCTAGGCACACAGGAGATGTGTGTAGGGGCACGGACGACTTAAGTCACGGGCATTCCAAAGGGCGAGAAGAGCCTCGTAGTCGTGATTCACAAACAGATAAGAATTAGATACCCGGGCGGAAGCCATCCATTCGGGCAGGGCAAAATGGCTTTAATCGTATCTTATCTAATGGAACTCCATTGCGAGCACTATGAAGGAAGGGGGGAAGCTTCGTAGATGCTGTCCCAGGTGCCTTGTTATCGTGAACCGATGCTGTCCCAAGGTGTCGCCGGTTTGAGTTGGGCAACGAAGTAACTTTTATGATGCTTAGAAACGACACATGGCTTTTTCTTCCAAGTGTCTCGACTTGGTGCCGAGTTTTACCGGTCGTTATAGTTCTGTCACTTAACTCGAACATGTACCCAATCGACGAGTAAAATCTACAAGGTTTAGGTCTCATTTCACTAGTAGGTCGGTATCCCATATCCAGAACCGATCCAATTCGATATTAGCTTTCCAGAGAGAGAGAGAGAGAGAGAGATCAGTAGATATTCCCACTTCAAAAGTCTGCCTAATTGTGGGCAAGGCAGGTCAAAAAAAAGAAAAAAAAAATTGATTCACATAATTATTACTGTGTACCCTAAAGACAATATCTGTGTTTATTTAAAGAAAGAGGAATAATGTGAGTGGAAACAAAGATCTGAGAATCCACCAATGCAAATGAGCAAATTGGCCACTAAAAGAAGAGAGCGCCTGGCGCTCAAATCAGCAGCTCTATCGGATTCGCCCTAACGATCATGACCCGTGGCTGTAGCTTAACTACAAAATATGCCTGAGAAAGCAACGGAAGACGTGGAGAATCCATTCTCTCAAAGCTATAGCGGTGAGGAAAACATGATGGTGATTGGCCATATTGACGACCTTATCACAGTAGATAGGGTATCTGCAGATTTTGCTTTAGTCGTATCCAAATCTAACTATTAAATTATTGCCTTTTTCCTGCTCCATGGGAAGAATGGCTTACTTTCCTTCCTACATTTGACTCTGCCCTGCAAAGGACTGACATGGATATATAATTTCCCACTATATCCATCCTGAAACCAAACCCAATATCAGTTTTAAAATGGGTTGGATAAATGCAGGTAGGTACCTACAGAAAAAAAAAACCAAAAAAAAAATCACCTGTTATTATCTAAAGAACAATCGATAAAAAGCATGTCTCAAATTTGAGGAGCACGTATCCTAATTCGACCTAAGTGGGTCAGTGGGTATTGGGAAATAAACTTTCTTCCCATCCCTTATCCAAGGCTACAACAATCTCTCGATGTTGCCGACCCATCATAACAATGCTGCCACGCAACCTAAGTGGCTGCATTTGCTATTTTTGTGTCACTCAGATTAGGAATTCTTAGGTAGACCAAAAGTATTTAGCAACACATCTCAAGGTATTTCGCTACAATTGGATGGTCCACCGATAACATGGTGGATCTAGTTCATCAAAAACCTATATATAACATGAAAGCTACTTGGATGGATCAAATCACATGCAAGGAGTTTTTCTCGGTACTGGTCAGATAGTCAGGTTTGCGAAAGGTGACATTATTCTTGAAATTTAGTCTGACAAAGCAGCATGGAAAAAAGAAGAAGGAATTACCTGACAGGTTAGGCTTGTGAGAGGACCATGCAAGATGAGTCTTTAAAGAGGGATCTTTGCTACAGGTGTCAGACCTGAGAACGAATTTGATGCTACAAGAACTGTTGATTAACAGTAATATAATCCTGCCAAGAAAAATACTGTTGGTTAGTAGTAGTGATATTTCCACATTAGTTTCTTATAGGTATTGCGTAAACATGATGTTAACAGTAAATCACTATGTAAGCATCTTACTATATTCCAATAGAAAGGTGAAGAAAAGTTTCAATTGTAGCATATCCTTCACAACTCATGAGACTAACAATTTGCATCATCCATGAGGGAGAGTCGATAACCATGAACCAGTCCTTTAGAGATCAGCATAATCATGTAATCACCCAGCTTTATGCCCAAGTTTGCAAGAGGACCATTGGAATTAGAAGGACTCAGAGAGGTGGAAGCCTTCCTTGCTGGACCACTTTGCACTCTCAGCCTTACCAGTCAGATTTCACTTGGAATTTTGAGACATGGAAGAGGGACAATGATCAAAGTTCTGGCATCCTTTACTGTCAGATGTAAAGACCAAAATGCTTCAGTTGCATAGATACCAACTAAATATTTGATTATGGCCCGTAACTTCGATTGATAATTTGAGAACATAAAAGAGTGTTCTGTGATCCATCACTTCTACCAAATGCATTGCACAGGTTTCTTATATCATCATATTCCTGATGATGCTGACAGAAGCTAGTCACCAAAATGTGAATGATAGACATGGGAGTATGGTGAAGGTTTATAATCTTGTTGCAGGACAACCCATAGAGTTAGGTAGTCCCAACTGCAAGCAGCTGCAATTTCAGGTACCACCACTTAAACAGGAGACTGAATCTGCTTCACATATCTAAACTTGGACTATGCATGCCATCTACAATTACCAATAAGGTAAATTTTGGTTAGCATCATATTTGTCTCACATATAAAAAGAAAATATAGACAGACACAGTAAAATATGTTGAATGCTAACCTACATTTCTTTATAGGTTCTTCACGACAAATGAACAGTAGCAAAAGATCTGATGGAAAATCGGGCTGATATATAGATGGTAGTACCTTTCAAATTTTCCTTTTTCACTTTGAGAGACCACGAGATGGGATGTGAGAGGTGGTAAGGTAAGCCAACCATAAACTGGAAAAGATCCAAAATTGATGGCACAGAGCATCTAAAAGATCAGGAACTTACACTAATAAGTGATGGAGGTTTAGCTAAAGGACCATCAACCAATAGGTGGATCAGGTTCTGTGGCATTTTAAAATAGATCTTTTCTTTTAGCTTCTTGGATTCTCCAATCAAGGAGAAGACAGTATGGAAAGGAACTATTCACATAATACAGGACTAAAGCTCCATCCAACCCTGACAATGAAAACAAATTGATGTTTTTCATGTCCTTAACCTGTAGAGTGGTACTCAAGTTATATTTCCAAATGCTGTTTCCCGTGGACTTATTTGATAACTTTAACATTCTCACCAACAGGCTTTGTGGCCAAGATGCAACTTCCCATTCTTCCTAGGCATCAATCACCATACATGGCACCCACCAGGAAACCACAAAGTTTGGCACCCATACTGTATTCGGTATCATCCAACCTTCATCATGGACTCTCATCTTCCCAAGGACAAATCAAATGCTGTATTGATTTATGATGCATTTCACAGGATCATGAGGGTTATCACTCAGTCATGTCATTTGCCCTCAGAATGCAATGTCATTCTACTAATGAAATTCACATGGTTGTGGAAAAAACTAACAGAACTTCACCAGGAAGAGAGAAAATGAGGTCTTTCTGGTCTTAAGCCATCTTTTGGCTATGACCATCCACAGGATCATATAACTAGCTCTACAGAATTTCGTGGTCACATTCACATTCACAGACCAGACATGCATTATCCCAGAAGTGGTGCCTGAACACAGACATCTAAGGGCATAATTCTGGGAACCCAAAAACAGTTCACTGTTTACAGTAGGCCCTCACCCCTCAAAAGGTCGATATTCATATCCTGAAATTAGTTCCAAAGTAACCTAACAAACAGGACCTAGTTCTTATGGTTCACTTGTTTTATCTATGGCCACCTCTAACCAATATTTTACGTGGGCCTGGAAACAAATCCATCCACCATAGATGTGTAAACCACCACATACCTCGTAAGTTGGCTAAAACTTCTGCCCATTGTTTCCAGAAAATTAATGTTCTGACTTCTTCAACTCAATCTGCAGTATTTCCCACTCCTAATGATTAGATCCAAGTAAAATCCTTTATTATGTCTTTTCCTTCTCGTGAACTTTTCCTCATCCAATCCTTCCTATGCATTGACCAAGCAGCCCACTTGATCAAGGACATCAGTCAGACAGCAACCTTCACTACCCTATATATATTAGACCTCTCTCGAGTCCCATTACCACTGAATATCAGATCACAAAGGCATCATAGTGCAACCATGTTGTGCTCTTGTATGAACTGCTTACAGCACTTTGGCAACGATAGTTTCCAATTGGAAAGTGGAGGATACAGCATGCACAATGACCTTTTGCCATCACTGGGAGCAACAATAAACCATACAATCAAGCTCAGGAAGCACATTGTTTCACCATACGATCCTCGTTACAGGTATACTGACTCATCGGTCTCCCTGTATTCTCACAATTATATTTTGAACAAACAGCATGTTTATTTTCTTCTCACCAACCACTTTTCAGGCTATGGGAGAAATTCTTGATAGTCCTGGTTCTCTACTCTGCCTGGATCTGCCCATTTGAATTTGCATTTCGGCGATACTTGCCAAGCACAATCTTTCTTGTGGATAACATCATCAATAGCTTTTTTGCAATTGACATAGTACTCACCTTCTTTGTTGCTTTTGTTGACCATAAATCATATCTTCTTGTTGATGAACCAAAGAGAATAGCAGTCAGGTTAGGATTTGTGAATCTTGTACAACACAAAAACTTAAAAGCTGCTTGGGCTTAACAGAATCTGACTTCACAGGTATCTGTCCACTTGGTTCATCTTTGATGCATGTTCAACATTTCCCTTTCAAACAATCAGCTTCTTATTCAATGGACATAGTAAAAGCCTCGGCTTCAAACTTCTCAGTGTGCTTAGACTGTGGCGTCTACATCGTGTCAATTCCCTGTTTGCTAGGTCTGTATCTTCTATCATTTCATAGTATACATTTTACCAGAACAGGACTGATTTCCTAATTTTCTTTCCACAGACTTGAGAAAGATATTCGGTTCAATTATTTCTGGACACGGTGCACAAAGCTTTTCTCTGTAAGCCCAGCATTTTGTTCATTGTTTTGCTTCAAGCAGCTGCACAAGTATTCCTACCATAACATTTTTGTACTTCAGGTAACTCTTTTCGCAGTCCACTGCTCTGGATGCTTCAACTATATGATTGCTGATAGATATCCCGACCCGGAAAGAACCTGGATAGGTGCAGTGATACCAAACTTTATGGAACATAACCTGTGGGTTAGATATGTAACAGCAATATACTGGTCAATTACAACACTAACGACTACAGGTTATGGTGACTTACATGCTGAAAACACAAGAGAAATGGTATTTGGTATTTGCTACATGCTCTTTAATCTGGGGTTGACGTCTTACCTCATTGGAAATATGACGAACCTTGTTGTCCACGGGACCAGTCGCACGAAAAACTTTGTATGTCCTATCTCACAAGTTCTTTAAAGATCTCTTATTTTGCTGGCAGATAAACCTCATACCTGTTTATTTTATCAGAATAAGCAGTGGAAAAAGGAAAAAATCATAGCATGCACATCAACACTTACACAAGATTGTCAAAGGTCCAGATTCAATATGATGTTGGATCATCTGGTTGCATGGCTTTCTCAGTTGTCTAATTGTTGTGTACAACTTCAGAGTTCAGTCTTGCATTTTTTATTCAAATTTAAAAATATTTCTTCTTCTTAAATTTCATTTCATTAATAGAATTATCAAAAGCATGATCAGAGGATCAAAAGAATATTTTATTTCATTGCTCCTAATAAAGGATCAAGAGAATTATTGAAACAGTTGAACAACAGTATACCCCACTAATTGATTAGAGAATTTTGTCATTTTACATTCTGTTAATGAGTGTTTATTTTGATATTCAGCGGGACACCATTCAGGCTGCTTCTGAATTTGCGTCAAGAAATAAGCTACCAAAACATATGGAGGAACAGATGTTGTCTCACATATGCTTAAGATTCAAGACAGAGGGACTCAAACAGCAAGAGACTCTTGATGGCCTCCCAAAGGCCATCCGCTCAAGCATAGCCGAGTACCTATTCTTTCCTATTGTCCAAAAAGTATACCTTTTCCAAGGGTTTTCCTTTAATCTCATTTTCCAGCTGGTGAGGTTTAAAATATAAATGATCAATTACAACACTAAGCAGGTCAAATGCATGCAGCATGCTGATAAGACCATTGTGCAATTAATAGGTGACAGAAATGCAAGCTGAGTATTACCCACCAAAGGAAGATGTAATACTGCAGAATGAAGCCCCAGCATATCTATATATAATAGTATCAGGAGCAGTGGTGAGTAACTTCTCTTTTTTGCCTGTATTCTTGATTCACCCGCATAGTTGTTTCCAGCAATTTCACATTCATAACTATTTTCATTAGTATTTTTGTTGCAGGACATGCGAGCATCTGCAGATGGGGTTGAAAAGGTAAAGGCTTTTAATATGTGCATCAATAGCACACTAGCACGTTAACCATTGATAATTATTGTAATATCAAAATCTTCAGGTTCATGGAAGGTTGACTGCAGGGGAAATATTTGGGGAGATAGGAGTTCTATGTAACATGTCACAGCCATTCACCATAAGAACCACTGAGCTCACACAAATTCTCAGACTGAACAGGACAACACTCTTCAACATTATTCGACAAAGTAGACAGGATGCGACTATTGTCATGAATAATCTTTCCCAGGTATATAATTAAGATTCGACCAGTGCGCTTTTTATAGAGAAAATAATTTATCATTTTTGGCAAAATAGGAGCTTAAATTTCTCTCCATTTAATCTAACAGAATTTAAGGCTACATGAAAGTCTATACCCCGGAATACAGCAAAATGAACCTGGTGAACTTCTTAAAAGATGGCTCGAGAGAGATCCATGGAAGAGGAATGAGAACCATGCACCAGATGGAAATAATTATCAAGTCTGCAAGCTACACACACAGGAACTTATGGATAAATGTAAAAGTCCAGGCAACGCAGAAAAAAACAAGGACAATGGCACACCCAATGAATTTCCAATCGGTCAGGTCAATGCAAAATTAGACCATGCAGATCGGCACAGTGTTTTTCATACGGTTGCACAGGATGGATACAATATAACTGCCAATATTTTGCTCAAACAAGAAGCAACTATAGAAGAGGACAAAGATAACAGGTGGACCCAAAAAGGATTGGTTGAGAAACATGAAAATACAGGTAAATTTGAGTTTTCATCAAGTAATGGAAGTACAAGGAGACACACTGGAGAGCATGAAATAGAATTTGTTGAAATGAAAGCATCTGGCTATGAAAATGACTTTGAGAACCATGGCAGCAGAGAATGGAAACCCAGGTTTGGGTATCCAAATATTAATGAATTGACGATAGCTTCTTGTTCACAAAGTGGAAGCCACAACTTCGAGAACAATATCATGAGACTAACAGGCAAAAGAGTGACCATCCACATGCATTCTCAAAAGGGAAATCCAGCAAGACAGCTAACTGCAAAGATGATAAACTTACCAGGAACCATGGAGGAACTCCTCAGAATTGGCAGTAAGTATTATTTGGACTGATTTACATGAAAGGTATAACCATAAAAGCTGCAAATGCTAATATAGATAGTATCCAAAATCAGTGTCAAGCTTAAACTGAAACACACAAATAACAAAGCATAAGAGTACCAGTTTCAGGAAGAAACATAAACTGTGAACCAGAAAGAATTCATGTGTCATATATTCCATTGTTGTGCAGGTGAGAAGTTTGTGGGACATCATCCTACAAAAGTGATCAACCAAGAGAATGCAGAAATTGATGACATTACCATAGTCCGTGATGGGGACCATTTGTATCTCCTAGAGATTTAAGAAAACTAGCAAGACTGTCAAAGAGGACATGGTCTAACTAGGATTCAAAGGTCAAGGAATACTTCCAATACACTTGAGTGTGTAGGTTTGAGCAATGTTTCTGAAAAATCAAAATTATGTAATGGTTTCTGACTAAATTAACTTTAGTTCTTTACTTCTACTAATTTAATGAATAGTTGCTAAGTACATGAGAGCTTGGTTCAAAAATATTCCTTGTGCCCATAAACCAATATAAATCACAAAAAAACATTTAATAAAATTTTAAAAATAATCTGAATTAGACAAATCACTTTTGGTTTCTTATCGAAAAAGATAATTTACTAAAATTGGCATTGCAGAGAAAATGGCACAAAAAAATTCACTTTTCCTTGAAGACATTCGAGAAGGTTGATCGACCAACTTTGCATTGTAGGACAACTGGACTGGAGCTCAATCGAATTACCAGGGCACACCAGGATACTCTGAACATCAAATTTACTAGAAAAGCTGATAAAAGAAGTGCTTCAGTACCATCAACAAAGTTAACGAGAATACACATAACAATGCAAAAATTATTCACCAAGGAGAAATTATTCACCATTTTTTATTGAGATGTTATATTGTCGCAAATGCCACGTGATCCCCACCAACATCATCATGCATGCATCTGTTTGTTCACATAAAACATATAGATGAAGCCAACCACAGCACCACGCATTCAATAAACTTGATCATAAAACTTATAGCTACACACATCAATGGTACTTATACTGTCTTTAAAGAAATAATTATGATTTTGACTTGAGCATGCAGGAAAATTGATGATTGATAAGTAGAAATATACGCATACGGTCATATACAGATATAGATGCATCATAATTTGTTCAAATACAAATGCACAATACAAACATAACAATAACATATATAACTAGCCAAGGCAGCAAAAAAATCTAAGTAAAATAGTGAGACAACAAAAAAGACTGGCATAAAACATAAATGAGTTAACAAAAGAGATTAAAAATGATATAGAAGATCATGAGGTATCTACAATTAAAACGAACAAAAGAAAAAGAGAGAGAGGATGAGCCTATTGCTCCTACCTAAATCCGTTGCCTAATACTGTTGTCTCAAGCACATCAGACACATATTGGTCATCCACCAATTCAAGTAGTTTCTCGATCGACTATTTTCTTAGAATACTAATGTCCTACAGCAGCGATCGAACGATCAATAACGAAACAGAGAACGTTCAACGACACTAGTTCCACGGCATCCGCGATAGCCAACCCTAACTCCAGACTTGCAGAGATCACCACATTTCGAGGGATTATTACGGTAAAGAAATATATCAAGAGGAGCTAGAAGACCAACTCATGAGGAGCTAAAAGACCTGGCTTAAAGAAATAAAGGAGGAAGGAAGACCAGGAAGCCACCACCTCGAGTCTTGGACGTCGGCGATCACCGCGAGCGTCGGACCAACTTCCGATGCGCTCGAATCCCGTTTATTCCTCCAATGGGCTTATCTTATTGGGTAACGACGCCATTGACTACCGGATGTTCCCCCCATTTAATGGGCCTTATGTGCCCATTAACATCTAAGGTTAATCGAATGGTTTCTACAAGTACCAAAATAGCATATTTGTCCCAACATATTTTAATATAGCATGCATATAGGTCCATAATATTAATTATCCTAATATTTTAGTTTGATACTGAAAATATATTTTATTTTCTTACCATTATAATAACGATGAGTATTTTAAAAGTACTTATCCAGCCAGTCTAATAACGTGTAACAATCAGCCTCATACATTTGACTTATATCTTAGATGTTGTCAAGTCACAAAAGGTTGGTGTCGAAAATGACTCGATTCAGCAATGGACATGAATAACTATATTATCGGATATGTCCGATGAAGATACTCCGATATCTAAATTAATGTCCGGATGTGGAGAAATAATTGAATGGAGAATTAAATCATGGGAGCAGTTTAACGAGGGATCGCCCAAATCATCAAGCTATGGCACGTCGTGTCAGTTACGTGAGTCAAGCTGGCGAGGGGGTCCGGTCCGAATACGTGTCGTTGTTAGTCTTGCCAAAACTTAAATTTAAAATGATAAATTAAAATACATTTCAGAAATAAGAAACGGCACCATATTATTACTTACTGGTACAACGGCTATAACAAATGTCGTTTTGCTAGTTCTTTGTCATTGCACGCCACGTTCGCAGAACCTTTTAACGGCTACTCCACTCAACACGGCAGGCAGCGGGACCCACCCACGTGCCTTTGCCTGCGATCCGACGCTTTCGAATCTTTCCCTTTCCCAACGGCTCTCTCTTCTTCCTTCCCCCCCCTTCTCCGCCTTCACCACCTCCCTCTCTCTCTACGTTGTATATATACACGCACACACATCCTCTACCTTTTCACATTCACCGCAGCTAAAACCAGCTTCTCGAGTTCGTTTCCCTTTGAGCCACTCCCTCACCGCTTGCTACCTGTGAGAAATGGAAGCCTCCATGAGACTTTCTTTGAAGGTACCGCTGCTGCTGCTGCTGCTGCTCCTACTCGCATCTGTTGCAGTCCACGCGCAGGAGGCTCCGGCGCCTGCGCCGACCATGGAGAGCGGATCGGTCCCGGCAGGCCCCGGTCTCTGCGTGCTTGCTCTCTCTGCCGTGGCTTCTCTTGTCGCTGCCTTCGCGCACTGAGGGTCACTTTCTCGTGGCCCAGCATACCATAATCCTAATATGATTACAATGATGTGAGCTGGTTATATGATATATTACGTCTCTGTTGCATTGGGTGTTCGTATTGCCTTCTTGTTTAAGAACGAATTGATCCGTGGATGCTATTTGTCGGGCTGTAAATGGGTGCTATATATTTTATATCTTTTTGCATCTAATTGGAGAATCACAGATCTCAGTAGCTTTAATCCGAGTGTTTTTGAGGTATTATATCGTATATGGGAAAAACATAATCACATTTAGTGCCAGCATTGTCTTGATCGTAGTGAAGAGGAGCAGCTAAATGATGACCGAACTCTTCTTTGACCATTCTTAGACAAACACCAACTTTTTTGTCATTTTGACCGGTGGTCAAAATCATTAATTAGAAGATGACAATGTGAAGGCACAAGCGCAAAACGTGTTCCTCCTAATTTGCACTGGATTTGGCAGAGGTAGCTTTAGTGGGCTAAATTTTGAGTTGCGCATGCCATTTTCCTGCGACTGTTCTCTCTCTCACACACACAAAATCCAGAACATCATGGGGACATGCCATTTGCTGGTATCTGCTCTCCGCAGCACTGATATGTGGACATGATGATGACGAGACTTGCAAGCATCGGTTGGCAGCTGAGTAAAGGCTAAAACCAAGTGTATTGACCAAGGTAAGAAGTAGCACACCTCCAACCATGTGAGAGCAGCAGGCTTGGTGGTGATGGTGATGTCCTTCCTTCCATGTACACTAATAATTTATCCTCATCATACAGGCCATACCTTCTTTGACTTTTGCCCCTCCTGATAAGAACCAAATCATGTCGTAGATCCCAATGCTTCTCGGGCATCTTTCCTCCAACTACATGTTCATATTACATGGTAAGATGAGAACAAAGAACAGAGTTTTTTATAGTCTATACTTGCTGATCATTAGATGCAAGCGAATACGAGTTTCGGATCATCTGAACCTTCTCCTAATCTGTGAAGCTGTTCTTGGACAGTCTCAAGAAAAATTCAACAAAGTTCTGAGCATAACAATCGAACACTAATCAAAATTTAGACCACGATCTCAGCCTGTACAGAACGACACTGGAAAGCAGAAGTTGAGAGAGTAAGACTTGCATGCCACTAATTAGCTGCACACAGATCCTTCCCCTATGTGCACCGCACACCGTAACTCAAGAACTGCAGCCGCGGAAGTCAACGGAGGCCGCGGTCAACCCTCGCCGGCGCCTCCCGTCTCAAGAGCCGCCGCCCTGCCGTCGCCCGGTCCAGGTGCTCCGCCGGTTAGTGGGGCATCCCCTACGGCGGCCGGCTCCGACGGGGACGTTCCGGAGGGCGCCCCCGGCGGTCCAGTAGCGATGGCAGGCCTTGCAGAAGTGCCGCGGCTGGTTGACGTTGTAGTTGTTGAAGTAGCAAAACTTGGTCTTCTTGCTCTTGCACCTGGGGCATGGCAGCGCCTCCTCCGGCTCCACCGCCTCCACCACCCCGGCCGTCTCCGTCGCCGGCTGCGCCGCCTCCTCCTCCTTGCCTAGTCCGTCCCCCTTTAGGATCACCGTCCCGAAAAGTTTGAAGCTTGGTGCTTCCTCGTCTTCTGCCATGCTGAGATCGGAGAGAGACAGATGATGAGGACTCCCGATAGGTTGAGAGGGATAGGAGGCGCAAAGCGAGAGAGAGAGGTATATATAAGGGAGGTGGCAACAGAGGCTTCATTCTTTAGTGCTCTTTATCGTCATCTCATCCCAATGGATAGAAAGGCCACCCAAAGAGAGCAAGAAGAGAAAGAAAAAGAAGGCTTGTCTGACAACAAGAAAAAAAAGGTCTTCCATTTTGGATGTTATCCATCTCCCGGAAGAAACTTTTTTCTCATTACTTGGGTGTGAATTGTGGACTCTGCCACTCGGGAAAAGAATTCCCCAACAATGACAACATGGAAACTTTGGAATGGAGCTTTGTTTGTCATCCATTCATGCGGTGATGAGGTCTTCAGTTCATGAATCATCGCCATGTGCCTACAGCATGTTACTGCGTAAGTCAACAAAGAATATGATGGCAAAGCGAAACATTCCAAATTTTGTTTTCAGCTATGGAAGTTGTTTTGGCACTGATGAAGTAATCACAAAAGTAATTCAAGATGCTCAATGAAAGTGGAGATAAGAATTGTGGTGCATATATTTCGTTTATTGTTTTTTATGTTGGGTTGATTGCAGGACCACTTTGCAATAAATAGAGTAGGTGATTTTGCCTACCCTTCCTCTAAGAACAACATCAAAGTCCAAATAAATTGTGCCTAATCTTCTCCGATCGCACTCAGAATATAAAGCTTATGGACTTGAGATTTTTAAGGGAGTAATGGAGGACATGTGGGAATAAATGGCTTTGCTCGTACTACTGAGCAAGAAAGATGGAGAAATTTGTGGTTAGCACCAGAACTTAGATTCTTTGGCTCCAAGATTGACTTTTCTTCGGCAGATGGGTCCAAAACTCAATTTTTAATGTAATTTTACATTAAATTTTGTTTTTTGACTGCATATAATGCACCGGATATTTTATCAGAGATAATCTAAATCTCATTTGATTGGATTCTTTGCTCGCTGGAATTTGCTCTGCTCACAAGCATGATCACATGATGTTGGATTGAACGCCAGAATAAGGTGAGTCTGATTCGTTCTGGAATTAGTTCGGATGAGGGAAACGGATCCGTGGAAGGAATAAAGCTGAGCTCCTCTTTCTTCGATCTTTTCCTTGCTTTTGACTCGATCTTTTTTATCTTGACGATACTGCGCGCAATGCTGGCGATGATGGAGGGGCTGTAGAAGATACTGATAGCTGCGCATCACAATATATCTAGAATTAAACGTAATTAAATTGGTCTCTTTCAATCGGTAGGACAACACTTGTTCTGTACCTGAGAATGATTGACTTGTTCATTTCTGGCATCCCTGTCTGCTTAGATCAAGTCCTAGCTTTCTACAACCACCATGAACATCTCTTGGCTTCTTCCCAGCTCCCTTTCTCGGTTGATGTCAGTGTCCGAGTAGATGGGAATTCTTGAATGCACTCAGTGAAGAACTTGAAAAGGTTGTCTTACTGCTTCAGTCAGTGTGCACTTTTCTGCAAAAGAAAATGACAAAAACCATCTCAAAATTGCATCTTACTTTTCTTCTCCGTGAAGAGTATGTGCTTTCTTCTCTTACAGTAGGAAAAAGTTGGGAAGTAGTTAATAGGGTGGAAAGGAAGATTGCCGGCCTCTTTTGTCTTTGAATCATTAGTCTATGCCCTGATATTATATATATATATATGAAGGATAAACAAGCATATGTTCTTTTGTCTTTTCTAGGGTTCATCCACCCTCATCAGACTTTTAACATGATGATACAAGACTGATCCTTTCTTCGTTGGATGGGATTTGTGGTTGACTGACTCCAAGCACTTTTTTACACCTGAAGAATCTATATGGTGATCTCTTTGGTGTTTCTTTTGTGGGAAGGAAAGCAACATGTGTAGCAAGCATTGGACAGATGGTTGATGGTTGAAGAATGTATACATCTCATTCAGATCATATGGAGGTCAGCAGCTCATGTGGATCAATTATCATTATAAGATGAAATCATTAATGACTTGATTAATTTTGACATTAATGTTGCTGATGTCTCATGACGCTTAAGCTGCAGATTACAAAACAATCATTCATTCCAAATCCTTTTATCATCTTTAGTTTGGAGAACAGTCGCCAACAAAAATGGCATCCGCCAATTCCATGGCAACCTTCTCAACAAGTGCAGTCACGATGTGCTCTTCCACCTTACTGACAACGTTATATGCTTCTTCCATGCAAAAGCCATTCCTCCAACCCACGTCCCACATGGCGTTCGTCAACATGTCTTTGCATCTGAGATCTCTTTCCAGCCTCACGTAGAGACTGTCTCTGTAAGGAACATCATCGTCAGCCTCACTGTACTTGGCAAGTCTCCCAATTCCCTTGCTGATTTCCCCCACTATCTGATCAAGTGAAGCGTGCTCTGTTCTGCTCCACCGGTGAGTCAGCGACATAGGATGATGGCCAGAGAGCTCCGCGTGCTGCCTTTTGCGCTCTATCAACTCTTCTGCACAACCCAAATAGAGCTTAGCATCTTTGTCAACCTCGTCCCAGTCCAGCTTTCCGTGATTCGTAGGTGTATGAGCGTCAAGGGTCAGCTCGTCGGCATGCAGCAGGAATGACTGGCAGCTGAGCAGTAAAGCTTCGAGGTGTTCTACTTTATCTGCTCTTGTAGTGGTGCTGATGAGTTCATTGCCGACATGCTTAGCGGCCGCTGCTTCTGCTTTGCCAGAAACCATTCCACCTTTGCTGGTCTTTGGCATGACTTCGCGAATGACTTTCTGGTCTTTCCCAGTCTTCTCTGCAAGCGAGAATAAGAGAATAGCCTATTTAGAACTCATATGCTTCCGTGACCACACGTCAGTTCTTAATTGATTGAAAGGATGAAAGAATGCTTACCATTGTTGGAAGATTTTGGGCTCAGCTTTCGCTGTTTCGAAGGTTCGGCAGCAGGCGAGATGTTGATTGCAGATGCGTCATCATCTGTCTTGCAGGAAGGACTCATTTCCTGGCCATCTCTCTGCTTTGGAGTCTACAAGAAAGTATGGTAGGATTGTACAAATAGATGTTTGTTAAACTTTGTGTTCATAGTTCTCATCTAAATAAGCATCACAATAATTGAGTAAAATTCCTGAGATTAGTTTGGCCATCTTCTGTATCGAACGCTTTCTTTTGAGTAATCTCTACATGGCTGACCAATTCATGGGCTCAAAAAAATTTGAATGGCATGAAAGGGAATACCTTGACCTTGGTCATCTTTCGAGCTGGTTTTGCTGCAGCTGTTCTCTTTTCTGCTGCGGCATTGGTGGAATTCCCTGATACCATTTCCCTCTGGGGTTTCATCATACTCTTCTGCTGTGTCGCCCCTGCTTTCATGGCAATGCTCTTTGCAGAAGCTGGTCTTCTGTTGGGCTCGGTAGATGCTGTTGTAGCTTTCTTGGCCTGAGATAACGGAGCTGCAGCAGCTTTGAGGCCTTTTCTGCTTTGAGGAGTCGTTCGATCTAACAATGACCTCTGTCCCTGATAGCTTCTCTTGTGAAGATTCGCTTCCTTCTTCTGCTGTCCATGGCATACAGAAGCTGGCAATTTACTCGTCTTGGACGACTCTACTTTGCTCTTCTTCGAGCTCACTGCTTCTTTTCTCACCGATTCATGTGCTAGCTCCCGTCTTCTGTTGGCAATGACCTCGTCATGCTCCACCTTGGTGGCTTCGATCGACTCCTGGCTTGAAGGCGGACGAGAAGGAAGGAGCTCATGCTGCTCCCCTCTCTCGGGAAACTGCATTGCCTTAACAGTCGATGGGTCTTCTTCATCCATATGGAATCTTTTACTGTAGCGTTCATCTGCCGAAGTATCGTTTGAATCCGACTGATTTCGGCAACCTATTTCTTGGCCTCTCTTCACGAGCCGCTCGATCTTTTCTCGTTCGATGATGCTCCGTAGAGTCACTCTCTCCGGTTTCGGACTCTGCTTAGACAACAGCAACCTTCCTGCCTCAGGCTTCCCAACATGAAACATTGATCTTGGTGCATTTAGATTCTCCCTGATCTGTTCCTTTCGTATGGTTTCGGCAGCTTCTGCAGGGACTTCTTCCAAGCCCATCAGCCTTGCAATCAGGCTCGGAGCTTTCATCTTCACTGGCTGCTCCGAGGCAGCGGTAGAATTCTTTCTTCCCCCCTCTGTCTCATGATAGGATGAACCGAGTGCACTTCTGAAATACACTCCCAATGACCGGCTGGAAGACGTCTTCTCGTCGTCGGAAGATATTTGCAGTAGATTCTGACCATGGAGACCCTCTCCGATCACCTTCTTCATCCCCTCACCGCAACTCCTCCATGAAAGACTACTGCAGAGCTTCTCTTCCTGCAGCCTACAGCTGTAACTGTTCACTGCGTACCTATGTGGCTTCTCTAGCTCATGACCGATGTGTGCTCCCTCCATGAATTCTCTTTGGCGAGGAATCGTCTTCCTCGATTGAAGCTTCAGTGATTCCTGAGCGTCCAAAGCATCCTTCAGATGACCGTTGCTGACACATTTCGATCCTCCATCAAGATTTGCCACCCCGAACCATGTGTTGATCATGTGACTCAGCTTGCGAGCTGGTTTGGATACCTCCAACAGCTGCACGTCACTGTTCTCCCTGGAGGGGAGGCCATTGCCTCCTCTTCTTCTTACCATCAAAAGGAGTGCAATCCAGGCCTCGACAACCTCTCCAGGGAATCCACCACCCGCAGAAGTCAATTGTTTGTTTCTGCCGACAAGAACAGGATCATTAAAACCCATAAGCTACTAACCTTAAATTGTCTGAGAACAAAATTCCAGTTGTCAAGGAAGAAAACAAATATTCCAGTAGAAGTGAAAAGCTCTCTGGTTTTGGAACTCCACTAATTCTTGATCTGTACATATCATGACAAAATGACCGGCTATAATCTATATATGCGGGCTAACACTGGCTTCAAAGCGAGAAGTGGAGAGAACAGAGCTACCTGAAACAGGAGCCATATGAGCTGAGGGTGGAAGCCAAGAAGAAAAAGAAAGGTGGCTGAAACCATCAGGAGTCCCCCATGCTGCTGTGTCTCCACTCCCGGTTTGGCTCCTTGAGATCACAAACGTGTCACGTTAACTCCCTCTCTGTCTCAGCGAAACAGCAGATTTAGGTTTTTTGCTACCTGCTGGTCTTCTCACAGACTGAGATCATTGAATTCCAGTAATGTTGGTGGGTCAAAGTTGGCGTAATGAGTGAGAAAGGAGAACACAGAGATCTGAAGACTTTTGCTGTTTGCTAGCAGTGTTTGCCTTTTCCTTCCCTTCCATTTTAATATGAGAGAGCTCATGTAGTTAATTCCCTGTCATGAGCATATCGATCACTGTGGGGCTAATCTGAATCATGGATTCTTGTTGAGATGTCTTCTTCTTTTTCAAGGAAGAAGGGAGGATTTGGACCACCCAAAGTTTATTAGTGAATGTTCGCTTAAAACATGTAATTAATGCAAGAGTTCTTCCCAGAGCTTCATTAAAACAGGAAAGGTTCTGCCACAAGAAACTCTTGCGGCGATGTGAAGCAATGGTTTCCATGCACTTAGAGGAATATGGTAACGACATGGAAATGCTACATGATGGAATGAAATAGGAACTGGATATCTCAGGTCTGATCTCAAACATAAGTTGCCATCATTACAAGCCTCCTTTGTCTTTTGTTCCTACTCATTGTTGTTTGATGGAGCAGTAGGAGATGGATAATTCTTAGTGTTTTCGTTTTACCTGCACCTCTTTTCTTTTACTTTCTCTTTTGGTGTGGTCCATGACATGTTGGAAAGCTGGTCGAGCAGCACATCAATGCATCTGAGAAAAGATACGTAGCTGCATTGGCAGTGGTGACAGTTTGCCGGGGTAGTCCCATCTCCTTTGCTCTGTCTTCTTCCATTTGCCATCTGAGTTACTAGGCTGTCAATCTTCAAGCTCTGTAGGCCCACAAGTAGCATGCAGTGCAAGGAAAGCAGAGCTCGTTTGCTTGAGCTAGCAATCATGAGCTTTCCTGATGAACTATCAATACCACCATGAGAATTCATCAGCCTCCCTACACCAATCAAAGGAAGATGACACTCTAAAGCTCGGGATTCACGGATTAAAACTTCATAACTCTCACACCACGACAATTAATTAACGGAATTTATTTTGATATCGATAGATTAACTTAGATCGTTGTTTTCTGACTTGATCTATCTGTATTCGATGAGACGAGAGACTAGTGATATAATAATGATGATCCATCGCTAATTAAGCATGACAACAATATCCAACTATTCTCGGTAACCATCGATAATTATGAAAAAAAGAGTTTTCTCCCCGAATACGTTCTTCACACATATATATTATTATTTCAATCCCCAACTAACTTAAACATCATACGAGCATTATTCGAGAAACGTTTCCAACGTAGTTTTACAAGTTCATTACCTTTTGATTGACAGTAATTTATTTAAGACCAATCAATAAAAATACTCTTAAATTAAGATAATTTAACAATGTCAGGTAAAAGAATGGTTGAAAACATCGTCTTCTCGATGAGCTTAGAAAGGGTATCTTTGTCATGGGAAGAGAAATATCGACGTGAAAGGGGGAAACTGCCCTACCAACCATATTTGCAGGGCTCGCTGTTGTCAGCCTCAGAATGTTGAGACCACAATACTGACCATCCACTTCATAACCTCCTTTCTATTTTATTCTCGTCCCTCAACCTTCCCTTCTCTTCCTCGACATGCACCCCACGTCCACTCCTTCTGGGTGCATGGTGGAGGTCGCCTTCTTCCCTATCTCTTGCACTGCTTCCCAGAGACAAGGCCTCAACCTGTGTCTCCCCCTCCCTCTGTTCGTCTCCTCGTGAGAGAAGGGCTTTTCTTTGTGCAACCTTAGCCGCTACACCAACAAGTTTCAGCCTGCGTTGCCTTCCATATGTTGGCTTAGAGAGAGGGAGAGGGAAGGGGCAGAGATATATGCATCTTCCTCTGTTGCTCAATCTAAATCCATGCGCATGCACAATCCGAGAGAAGACACGGTTGCTTCTCGAGTGTATCGATCACCTTCGGTGGCAGACGTGTGAAGGTCGGGTTTCTCACGAGAGGACATAGCCTTGACAGATTGAAAGTGCATGTTAAGTCGACGCTGGAGACCTCGAGGCGCTGAGTGCAGAGCTTTTCTTCGGATAATGAGGAAGGGAACAGATCTTTTAAGGAGGAGATCAAGGTGTTCTTCAGAAGCCAGGGCTTAAGAACCGCTGACAACTCTGTAGAGGGCCAGTAGATTGGTGTTGCGTTTGATCGGTCGCCCGAGGAAGGAACCCCTCCCAAAAATCAAGGAAGGATGAGAAAGGATTGTGCAGGAAACGGTCCTCCATCAGGTAAGGCAGATGAAGGATTGGGTGTTCAAATTTAGGCTGAGAAGACAAGATCTAATTCGTGAACTAATCTACATAATATCCTTAATGCAATCCAATGTTTGTTTTGCTTTTCTTATTTTATGGTGAAGATACATAGCCTTTTGAGTTTTCCTCATGGACTTTTGTCAGACATGGAGCTAATGAAGGAGAAGTTTGCGAAGCTTCTTCTCGGTGAGGACATGTCAGGTGGAGGAACAGGAGTTTCCTCAGCTCTTGCTCTCTCTAATGCCATCACCAATCTTGCAGGTTTTGTCTAATACGCAGTAATACATATTATTACAGCTATTCAGCTATTCTGATCATTCTCTCTCTCTCCCTCCCTCTCTTGCTCCTGCTTGATTCAGCTTCTGTCTTCGGAGAGCAGCGGCGCTTGGAACCCATGCCAGAGGAAAGGAAGGCAAGGTGGAGAAAAGAAGTCGATTGGCTCTTATCCGTCTCTGACCATATCGTGGAATTTGTTCCCTCACAGCAGGTTTCAGGAGATGGAAAGAGCATGGAGGTAACTATCGACGTCCGGAAGCCCTCCTTGACCTTAAATCCAAAGATCAAACACTTACATCATCATGCTCTTCACAGATAATGATAACTCAGCAACGCAAAGATCTTCGCATGAACATTCCTGCCTTGAGGAAGCTCGACGCAATGCTCATCGTAAGCAAGAAAGATGATCCCCGCACGAACATTCCGCTTCACTCTGTTCTGATACCGATCTCGACACTTGTGCAGGAGTACCTCGACAACTTCAAGCAGAAGAACGAGTTCTGGTATGTGTCCAGGGATGCGGATGAGTCTGAGAAGGGGAACGTGCAGAGGACCGATGACAAGTGGTGGCTCCCTACCGTGAGAGTCCCCCCCGGTGGGTTATCAGAGGCCTCAAGAAAATGGATTCAGCATCAGAAGGAGCTGGTGAACCAAGTGCTCAAAGCAGCTATGGCTATCAATGCCAATGTTCTAATGGAAATGGAGATTCCTGAAGACTACATCGAATCCCTCCCAAAGGTGTTCGTTCACTCGAGCAATGCTTTTTTTGCTCCAACTCACCATAATCATCGCCTCAGTCTCTGCCATGGATGGATGCTGATCATTTCTCATGGCACAGAACGGAAGGTCAAGCCTCGGAGAAACCCTCTACAAGAACATCACCGACGAGGATTTCGATGCCGAAACATTCCTTGCATCCGTAGACCTGTCCACGGAGCACAAGATCCTGGACCTCAAGAACCGGATCGAAGCATCGGTCGTCATTTGGAAGAGGAAGATGAACAACAAGGACGCCAAGTCGACGTGGGGTTCGGCTATAAGCTCGGCTATTAGCATGGAGAAACGCGAACAGTTCGAAGACAGAGCAGAGACGATCTTACTCATCCTCAAGCACAGATTCCCCGGCATCCCCCAATCAGCACTGGACATAAGCAAGATTCAGGACAACAAGGTACGTAGAACTCCAAGAATTGGCACTCGCACCGTCCGACTTCTTCTGCTGCTGTAAACATGCGACTCCCCTTGTGCAGGACGTGGGATACTCGATCCTGGAGAGCTACTCCAGGATTCTGGAAAGTCTAGCTTTCACCGTGATGTCGCGGATAGAAGATGTTCTCCATGCAGACTCCGTTACTCGAGATCAAAGTCTTGAGGGCTCCAAGACGAGGCCTTCGGTGGCAGATTCGGAGCCAACTGCAGGAATAGCGACGCCGCTTGATCCAGCAGAGGAGATCGATAAGCTTAATAACATGGAAGCCAACAATTCCATGACGCTGTCGGATTTCATGGGCTGGCAATTCGACATGGACACCCAGACAAAGAAGGAAGACGAAGATGCAAAGCTGGTGAAACAGCCTCCAAGCATTGTGGTGGCCAACAACAAGCTTTCCAACTTAGAGAAGTTAGAGACATGGGAGGCTTGAGCTTTCAAGAAGCCCACAGAAAAGACGAGAGAGAGAGAGAGAGAAGAGATGCATTTTACAGAGATTTTGTACCATAAGTTTCTTGCTTTATGAAGATCGAAGAGCATTCATTATATGGATTTTTTTTTCCTTACTTTGACACAGAAATTTTTTGAGAAAATAAGGTTCATTCCATCAAATTAATTGTTAACGACTGTTCATAGCTTCAGGAATTCAATTAAGAAAAATAGTCTCGTAGAATTTATTTATATTATGATGATCGAAGTGAAATGATGGAGTTGAGATTCCATTAAATTCGATCTGATCGAGTTGCCCAAAGTGAGCCCAAAAGAAGCATTCCATGTCGATCTTTGTTCACACACGACGAGCATAAAGTTGGAACAGAGTACAAAGGAAATAATCGAGCTTCTTTGATGTTTACACCGATCGCTTAGATCTTGCCGCGAGGCCCCGGAGTAGGAGGCAGCTGCGGGCCCTTCTTGATGGGTAGTATGTCGCCGGAGGCGGTGGATCCCAGGTAGGCTATCGAAAAGCCGCCACCCAGCAGCAAGAACTTGAGCAACAGACCCCGCTTGGTGAAAGGAGCAACGAACGTCTCGAAGAACTTGCTCTGCAATTCCACAAACACATGGTCGGCATCAACCGTAGCCGAGGGGAGGAGTTATGGGTTTGCCTACCTGGAGAGGGTTGTAGGGCGAAGGGGCGTCGGAGCCGTAGAGGTCCCACTGGCCCGTAGTGTTGCCGATGTCTTCGAGGTCGAAGTACACGCTCTTCTCCCCGTACTTGGCGACCACGGCGGCGCCAGGCCTGCTACCAACAAGATCGGAGTTCGATCGCGTCCATTGCGTTCGACGAGAAAGGTAAAGGAATCGTACCTGAGGTTGGCGCGAGAGGCGATGCGGCGGGAGGGCTTGAGTGCGAGCTTGTTGCCGTTAAAGGAGCTCCCTGCGAGGCCCTTCACGGCCACAGGTTGCACGGCCGCGACCGCGGTGAGGGAGGCCATTGCTGCGTCCTTCGCGTGGTGCTGCTGCTAAGATTCCGAGGACTGCGTTCTTTGCCTCACGTTGCTGCTGCGCGAATCTTTATCCGCTCTCCTATATCTACGAGGCTGTGGTGATTCCCAATTGCAGGTGGTGGCGCGGGTGATGGGAGAATCCAGTGAGGGAATGCCACGTGAGTCGAGTTGAGATTGGCTTATCCAGATAGATGCATAGGAAAAAGACACAGAATTATACACAAATATACATAAATACCTATATGTTACAACCTTAATATTGTTGACCAGGGAGTCGATACGACCTAGCCCCATCCCGAAGGTATAAGCTCGTCCTGAAAGCTTACTTAATGCTCTTGAATACTAATGGGGTGAGGCGAACTAATTAGAACGATCTTGAGGTGTCGCTTGTTCGCTCGAGGTGAATTTTATGTTTGGACCGAGGTGGTTGGAGCTTCCTCGGGATTCTGGAGTCGAACCGAGGTGTGTCTTGGTTTTATCGAGATTCCTACACATGAGATTAGCATTGTGAAAATTCCCAACTCGACCCCTCCGATGATAGAATCAGTAGTGGGAATGAGAATAGTAGGCTTTTTTTTTTCGTCCCCCTTTTGGGTTTCGGGTGTTTACTTTTATACTTGGACGACCGATTATGGGAGACTGATAGCTCCTTCAAGGGTTCATTTATGTTGATGATCGATTGGTTCCTTCTCTTATCAACAAAGGATAGTCAAAGGGGCATCGTTTGTTTGGGCTGACATCTGTATAGGAAAAGAGCATGGAGATTGCCCATGTCAAACGATCGGGAAAAGGGAGATGAATTTGGACATCGGGGATTAATATCCCTTGGAAATGGAGAAGACGTATTTTAATGAAAGTGAGAATTTTGAGTAAAACAGTAACGAGCCTCGATTAATAGTAAAATAATAATTTTTATATAGATTTAAGAAAAAAATATTTTATAATATAAATAAAAATATTCTCCTCTCCTTATATTCCGTTTTTGATAGATGTGCACGTGACTCAATCTTTCATTGAAACTCATTTTTTCTTAATGATAATGCTGCCACATTGTTATTTGAGCTTGAAGTATAATTATCGAGCTAATAGATTTATCAGTTTGGTTGAATCAAAACTACATGAAATGTAACCCAATGATAACTAATGATGATTTGTAATCCTATACAATGAATTTTGGGATAGTGATTCATGCACGATACAATTTATTTGGTGAGTGAGTGAAATCGTAACAGAGCGTAACAATAATAGCCAAAGAAGATAAGAGTGACAGGCTTGTGAAGGCAGCAGCAGACAAAACGTCTCACAAGCCATGTGTAGTAGTTTTAAGGGAAGTTTAAGCTTCCATCACTTCAAAATTACTTTTCGCCAATTCAATTGGCTTTAGAATCTCAATTGTTACATTTCCCTAAATGTTCGGATACATTGAAATTTGAGTGACTTTATAGCCGATACATGGGAGTCAGACATCATCAAGTGGTGATGAACCATCCTCTACTTCAGTTGAAGCATCAAATACATCAAAAAAATATGAATGACTAAAGAAGACTTGGAGACCTGTAGCTAATAGCACCTGCACTAAACCGTCATCTTCAGGTCTAAAAAGCAACCTGCTTGCCAAACTCTGTCATTTCAACTATGAATCATCCATCTACTATGTTCAGAGGCATGCTTTATTACCATGTATGCAGCCCCCTCAGATTCCTTATGATGTCACAGGCTTCGATTAAAAATGTGAGCAATATCCGGAAGCAAGATTCCAATAAGAAGGACCTGATGAACAGATAAAAAGCAAAGAGATGATCAACTAAGGAAAAGCAAATGATCAATTGATGTCAATTCTAATAGACTAATTATAAATTGCAACAAAAATGAAGAAAGAAAAAAGTTAATATATGCTTCCAGCAGCATATCAGAATATTATAGAATGAGGCAGTGATGGGTTCTGAGACTTGCTTACTTGTTCACGTATCCGATTTCTCAATCTTAGGTTTGATGTCGCCATTTCCTATGGCTGCTTGTCTGATAGGAGTATGCTTATTAGGATAAGCAGGGATTGGTTTCAACATCTGAGGCATCTCCATAGCAGTTGGCATTGTAGTCCTAGCAGCGGCATTTTGAGGTGATTCCATATGATAAGGTGTTTCATACTTTGCAGACATGGATGAGTACTTCTCTTCTGCAACACGTCAGAGAAGAAAGCATCGGATCTGAACTAGCAATGCAAAAACAAGAAATTGTATACTGCTTAGTCTAAATAATTAAAACATCATTATTCAATGGCACCTTTGGACAATCGAGGGAAAATGATTTTCATTATAACTGAGACACTTTATCACATAATGACTTTTGTGTCAATTCAGGTTAGAGAAAGAGACTCTCAAAACTGCATGAAGTTGCCATTTTAGAATTTCAACTTAATAGCAAAATGAGTCATTCCTCACAACAAGATTATCCTGATACTAATACTTCCCAAACATTCAAACAGGCTAACTGGGGATAATAAAAAGATCACATCTTTCTGATAACAACAGAAAAAACACTTGGATGACAGAATCAGGTTCAGAATCTGGGCAAGACAAACGGTCAAAACAAAGATTTCACATAAAACAAATGTCCACCTTTCGTGGTCAAAAGACACTTCAAATTTCAGAAGAAACAAACATAGATGAAAGAACAAAATGATCCATGGTCATTCTGAAATGACATAATCAGCAGACTCAGTTAAAACTATTTATCTCTACTACCACGGCACAAGGAGAAAATGTTTACCTTTCATTCGTCCATAGGTAACTAGCTTGTGGAGATAGTCTCTGAACTCCATTAATACACACCTTTCTTGCTCCGCATAGACCTCTGACATGCTCTGGTCGTTGGAAGATCTTGGAGCTGTACCAGTAGCTCGAGATGTCATAAAAATTGTGTCTTGCTCATCGCACATCAGTGCCAGTGTACCAGGAGACATCGACCGTTCACCCTTCTGTCCATCCCCAGAATCAGATCCAGACTCTTCGGTGTTAGTTTTGTCTATAGGAATTCCACTTGAATACTCATCCACTAATGCATTCTGCATGTCTGGATCTTTTTGACTCTGATCTCTGTCATGATTTGGTGGTCTGAGAGAGCTTTCATCTTGACCTTCCTTCTCTTCTAACCTCTCCTGAACTCTTCTGTCTGAAACATTTTACGTCAGAGAATAAGGATTTGACGGAATCAAAGGTAAATGACCCATAAAGAACCCAAATTCAGACTCAGCAGCAACATATAGCCAACAAAATCAGCATATGTTAGGCAAAAGAAAATTTTGATCAAGTAGAAATTGGTCAACACCAATATCGCTAAAACCAAATCTTTCGACCGAAGTATCTTAAATTCTAGCATTCATGAAACTCCAAAATAATTAATTATATACTATATTAAGTTCCGCACAAACACTGATGAAACATGCATTTGTTGAAGTATTTTATTTCACAACCAATGTTTTTAGTAAAATTACGATTCAAACCCCCATTTATCAGAAAATCCTGCACCTTGTATCTTCCATGCTAATTTACAAAATATAGATTTTCTCTGACTTTGATGTCCAGAAAGAGAGAAGTAGTCAACATTCTAGAAGGCTACTCGATGAGCACATTCACCAGGCCCCAGCATCGGACTTTGTTCATTACCATATAAGATATGTTTCAATGGAACAGTAGCATTCTGACGGTTGCATTACTTGCAATTTAACAAGAACCAAACAATGGTTACTATATATTCAGAATCCAAGTGTATGATCAGAAAGTAAAAATATCAAATGAATCAACAGAGCTCAAGATAATAATAGGTCAGCAAATAGAAAATGCATAGAAAGAAAGAAGCATAACAACTGTTTTTATAAAATTTCCAGAAGAAAATAAATAATCTAGTAAAGAATTTAAGACAGAACGAAGAAATATATTCAAAAACTCTTTTTCCTTTATGAAAAAAATACATAAAGCATTAGAATGACTGGGTTAGTTTCGAATAATTAAATATGTGAACAATGGAAGAACAAAATTCTCCTCATGACTGTCCACTTCATTCTTTTGATATGTGTCACGTATGGGTAACATAACCGTTGCAAGCTGACATAGGATGGAGATGTAAGCATGTTTAACTTGTCCTATACTGCAACGGTTTTCAATAATTAAATATGTAAACAATGAAAGAATCATGACTGTCCACTTCTTTTTTTTTTAATGTGTCATGGAACAGTTTTTTGTGGTGACATGGGTAACATAACAGTTGCAAGCCGACATAGGATGGAGGTGTTTGCATGTTTAGCTTGTTCTATTCTGCAGCAATATTACTCAAATTGATAGTCCAAAGTGTACCAGAATACTGTATGAATCAGTTATTGAAAACTGTCAATTACTGTGGCAGTCATACCGGAAAATGTTTTGGCAACCTCTCCAGACACTACCACCAAAAGCTTGCACAGATCCCTAACGTGCTCAGGTTGAACTATGTCTGCTAGAAGAGACCTTCAGATGACCAACAAAAATTAAACCTTGAAGGCACAAAAAAACAACAATTCAAAAGTTCCACAAACAAGATTAATTAAATAAAGAAGAAAACTATTGGTAGATTGACTTTAACCTGTAAGTGACCTTAGTGGATGCCGCAGGAGCAGTATTAATAGCACAAGCCACAGGAATGGAAGCAAAAGAAGAGCCCGATGCTGAAGCGTTAGCCTGATAAATGCAGAGTAGCATTGGTAACAACAATGATAAAAATTATTCTCCAATGTAAAGTCCGGCAAAGGTTAATCAAGCAGTCATGTGCAAGTCAGAAGAGTGACAATAAATCACTGTTACATCTTCTTTCATTGCCTATAAATGCCTGTCAGAAAAGCCCTTTGGACAAAGTTAACTTAGCCATCGCATGGGCAATCATCCAGATTTTCAATCAATCCATGCAATGCAAAATTTGAAGTGAACAATAAATTTTTGTCTGATTATTTAGTACCAATTTCATGGAAATAACAAGTAAAATAACAAAATAATCTCTATAATATTGCAAATATCAAAAAATTACCTGTGGAATTTGTGCAAGCCTTTGAGTGGGTTGATCCTTTACTGATGCACCAGCTAACAGCACTTGGTTTTTTCTCTTCCTTGGTGCTGAGGGAGACATGAACCCGGAGGGACCAATAGCCCCATTCAGGGCTGCATTGGTTGCCTGCTGCATGTAAAGAATGCTCCCATGATCACCCCGAAAAAGAGCCTTCCTCTCTTCACTCCCTTCAAAGTTCTTACAGTCCATACATTTACAATTATCAGAGCAAAGAATGTTGGCTTGGAAGCACTCGCAGTATTTCTTGAGGCAACCAGACTTCTTACAGTGGCATCCTTTATTGTGCTTTCCCACTAAAGGAAGTTCTCCTGCCTCATCCTAGCAAATATAAACATATTAATATTAGTAATTAGCACATATATTAAAAAAAATTCCTTTAGGCAAAATGGAACTTTTATTTCTTATCCTGAAAGTAGCTTAAAAGGATTTTATATAGGAGTCCTAAAACATATTTTTTATAGAACAAGATAAACAAAACTTTCGTGATCACTTAATTGCCTGTTTGACTTGCAGAAGATTGAGAACTTCACGAACATGTCCTCTGAACTAATCACTTATTTCTCATCACCTATCACCACCTTGAGAGCATATACAAGCCATCAATATCAAAAAATATAATTGTTCTTTTCTGAGAACAATTGCTAAGTTGCTCAAAACTCACAATAATCTGTTGTTATCATAGGACGCAATTGCTAAAATTTGTCATTACTTGCAGAGTATAATATAAGACCCAATCACCAAATGTGCCAAATATCTTGAATGTCACACCTTGTGAAACAAACCAATTATTTAATTATTCTAGGATATTAACTACATACCCTGCTATCCCGCAGTGTGTGTGGGCTACTTCCAATCTTAGGCCTGAAGGCATTAGGATTGCGCTCTAGAGTAGCTTCAACAGCCTCACGCCTGGCAGCTTCATTCTCGATATTGTTACAGCAGTTTGCACAGTTGCAGCCATCACAATAAACTCCAGACGCAAAACACTCACAGTACCTAAGCATGCAATAATGAAAACGTTAATATAAGGACAATATGCTAGTTTACAAGAGGACATATAAATAAAATCATAATATCAAGCACTTAATTGCAAGACTATGTTTTATACCACAAAAGACAGAACTCAGCATGAACGGGACAAAAATATCTAGTAGTAGTATTTGCATATTCACTGAAATTTTCAAGCGACTAGCAAAATAGAAACTCTAGCATAGTAGAGAAACTTAATGTCCCCATTCCATATTTGTGAAGCATTTAGCTGCAAGACTGCAGGCATAAACTTTCCTTATCTGGAGTGCACAGCAAAATTCATTTTAGACGAGCAAGTAAATAACCAATACTCCTTCTGGCATAAAACCTATCAAACAGAGTAAGCACCTAGAGATTTTCCCGCATTTTTCGTTAATTATTTTCATCAAGTGGGATTCTTGCGATGTATCTATCCTTAATTAAAAAACTAGAGATAAGGGTAATGAATTAGACAGAATTATTCAAACGATTATTGAACTCTCTCTGCACATTATTCATGAGTCATCTACAACTTCCTTGGGAAACAAGTTATTCATAACCCAAGATTTAGTTTCTAAAGGTACCACAAGGAAGAATTTTATATATGACTAATTTACCAACAAAAACTGACAAATTCACTAGCATATGAACTTCGCTTACATAATTAATTAATAATCAAGTTGCATGCCTGACTTATCAGAAATCTGTTTTCCATTAATGAATATCAATAATCATAATACATCCAATATTTACCATGCTAATTCTCAGTCAGAGAAATCAGACAGGGAAGGCCCCATAATACATCATAGCTCATACAACCGAAGTACAACACTCTGCGACTACTACAATTAAGTGTAGCTAAAATAGCAATAAGTGCTATGTAACAATTTAAGTTGTGTGAGTTCTGTGTTTGTCTAGATGGGAGGTCTAGGAATATGTGTTACATAGGCCTGCACTTGATGAACCATATACATGAAATCACCGTGTAGCAATTACTGCACTAGTAAGGTTTAATCAGTCAATCTATCCAATGACCATCTTAAGTGGTAGTTAACTAATGCTATGAGATATTGTAATACTGAATATGGGTCACAATCAAGATACCAATTGCAAATTACCGCTGCAGCATAAGCATCAAGTCAGAAATTCCATGGTTGTTTTGGCTGTAAGAAGCAGCTAGTGAACTAAGAAGTCTTAGTAATTAACTACTTGAAAAAATCTTCTAGAGGACAGGGATTAAAGGAGCATAACAGAGACACAGATGATAATTTCTGACAATATTTACAACAGATTTCCTTTTTTGGGGTCCTATCCTGCCACAAGGCATGATGTTTTATGGCATTCTTGGTCATCTGTGCAATCCTTAGACTATAGATGATCTCAAAGAAGTAACTATGCCATTCAAGTGTTAACACACCATAATCTTATCATGAAAAAAAATGAAACTAAGAAGACGACAAAAACTTTCATAACAAAAGTTAATTCCACCTACAGCTTCAAGCATTTTGAGTGTTTGCAGTTGCAGTTCTTCTTTCTTGTTGGAGTACCATCTTTTGCATCATGTAATGGTCGTGGCCTTGATTTGGGTGATGCTGGCTTCCTGGAGAGGTTGGTTGTAAGATAGTGAGCCCTTCTTTGCAACAAAAAGCAATAATACACAGAGACATCAGGTAAAGATAAAAGCTTCTCTACTGCTAGTCATGCCTCCGAGAATATTAATAGGTATCCCTCCCAAGACTTGCATGTCACTGAAAAAATATGGATGTACTAATGTAACTAATAGATTGCAGCATGTTCAATACAAGAATATCTCGGAATAAACTTTGATGCTTGATATACCCTGGGCATTTAGAGAAATATGTTGAAGGGACGAAAGCAGACATATTAGCCACTAAAAACTATGACTGAAAAGAAGCAGAAGGTTGATAAAAAAGAGTAATCAATTTCAAAGTTCTCATCTACTGTAGAAGACAGTCTAATTCAACTGTAATCGTAAGAATTAATAGTGTACTTTTGAAAGACTCCTGTGTCCTAAATGACATATATGAAATATACGGATGAATCTTATCACTATAAATCCATCATTATTAGCATCATTAAATACTGGCCAAGATGTCCAAATCTAACAAGATTTAAGCTTGTAGTCTGAAGTAAAAGAACACTAAAATACAAAGAACAAACAAACAAACGAACGAAAACAAAAATGGACATTTCTGAGGCATTATATTTCGAATTGCATTCCGAATTAAAAGACGAGGAATCTTAACATAAGAGCACTGCAGGGACAGTTTCAGACGGAGCCGAGAAACTCTCATGGCCATCCTACGCTATATAACCTTAGAAGGTAGAAACTCAAGCTCCCAAAACCTAACCTAAGATTTAGAAGAGTTTCGCAAATCCATAGTGATTTCAAAAAGCCCGTTAGATATTAACTCACGCAGCCACAGAATTTGAAGGAACAGAGGGGCTCAAGGGATCCGGCGTGGGCCACGGCGGTCGTTGCTGCTGCTGCTGCTGCTGCTGCCGCTGCTGCTGCAGTTGCTGCGGTGGATCAAGGGCCACCGGTACGCCCGCCGAAGCCGGGGCTCCGCAACAAGCCGCGGCCGTGAAATCCAGCTGGCGGACGAGCTTTCTTGGAGGGAAATCAGTCGACGCCGACGCAACAGGTTGAACACTTTGCTCCATCGGAGTAGTCAATCGCCGATTCAAGGACCAATTCGAGAAAACTGCCAAAGGTCCCCTCCAGAATTCGGGTCCTCCTTAAAAATCTGAACCCGCACAGATGCCCAACGGCTGGAGATCACTTGGATCGAGCACTGGAAATCCCGCAGATCGCCGGAGGTGGAGACCAAAGAAGGTCCCGTGGAGCCTCGGAAGATCTCCGGCGTCGGAGAGGGAATTAAACGGCAGAGATCCACCGAGAGGAGCAGCGACGGGTGGTGGAGGGCGGGGGATAAAGGTGGATTTTTTATTCGGGTGCGGGAAATCTTTCGAGCACAAGGAGATGAGAAGGGGGAGGAAGAAGCGAAGTGCTTTCTCTCTCTCTCCCTCTCTACTTTTAAATCGAATTCTAATATTTCGACGGACAGATTTAGGTCGAAGAGGCGATCGGACGGTCATTCTCTCGAGAAGAGATCGTGCGGTTAAAATTCATAGGTTCTCGATGTCGGGCCGTCCGATCCAAGAAAAGGAAGATTTTTATTGTAGGGAAATTTGTGGATGTACGTCACAAGACGGCGGTGATATGATCCTGTAATATATTTCTGGGTAATTTACTCACAAAAATCACTTATATTTATATTTTATCATCTTTTTCAAAATATTCAATTCACTTTCATTATATTGGACCTAAAAAATATGTATATAAATATAAAAATAATAAAAAAATAACTTTTATGTTTTTTGGACAAATTTTATCAAAATGATGCAACATATTGGACTTACTATAAAAATCCCTAAAATCAGTAAAGTGCCTATTTATATCATATTTTCATTTGATGGTTAAAATTTAAGATGAACGGCTACATTCGACAGCGTAATTAGGAGTAACGTAATTTTATTTTGATTTTGATTATATATGGAGTGTAATACAAATCTTTTTCAAGAGTAACAATATACAGTTTGTTTAACTCATCTCAATCTCTTAATGTATCATACAAATATGATATACATGATGATGTCATTAGTTTTTCTATTTTTATATTATTTATGAGTTTTGAGTCAATTCAATAATTAAGTGTGACACAACTCATTAATAAATATGACATGATAAAGTTGGTCTAACTTACTTCAATCTTTTAATAAATATAACCTAAATAGTAATTTTCATAATTTTTTATTTTTAAATAAAAATTATATATATAATTTGAATAAATTCATGCTAAACCCATGCTAATTACGTATTACAATTTTATAATTTTTGCTTGGATGCTATTGTAATCTCTCTCTATATACTTAAAGTAAAACAAATAACTCTATTTGTCCTAATGTTATCGGATACATTAACAAAAAAAAATATAAGACATGACAATAACATTTTGGATCACTATGAAAATGATTGACAAAAATAAAATTTTTCGACCAATTTCATATTCAACTAAGATGTTTTTATTTTGATAAAATAAAAAGAAATAATATTAAAATTACTTTTTCACTTATAATATTCTTATCAACTTTCATTTATTTCACTTTCATCCCATGTAAAATTTTCAAACACGAAAATCCTAATACTAATAGGATAAAAGTACAATAGCTAATATGCAAATTAGCCACTCAAAACCTGTAAGTCATGTGATAACACTTCCATCGCATGTAAATTTTTTGTTGGCAGGTAAACCAATTATGAACAGCTTTTATAGGTAAATTGTCTTGGATATTTTTAGTTTATTTATTTATTTTTGCTATAAGTCATGAGATTGATTATATGGATATTTATTTACATGGATAAATATGCTAGCATAAATTTATACGAAAAATACGAAAATATTGTCACATAAAATGTACATATACACTAATATTTAATAAATGTGTGATATATATATATATATATATATATATATATATATATATATATTTATTTATTTATATACATCCCGGCTCCGATCCTGCTTACTTCCCAATTCCCCTTTACAGGCCGCCTCCCTCATCGACATCAGCGCACAGCGCCGCCTCCTCGATCCATCTCCGTCTTCCCCCAAGCCCCTCTCTTCTTGGAGCCCACCGCCATGGCCTCCGCCGACGCGCCGCCGAAGCCCCCTCCGTCCACCGCCGAACACGACGACGACGACGACGATTACGAGGATTACATCCCCGTCAAGAAGCGCCGAGCCATAGAGGCCCAGAAGATCCTCCAGCGCAAGGGCCGCCCCACCTCCGCCGGGGACTCCGACGCCGCCAACCGCCCGCAGGCCCTCGCGGAGGCCAAGCCAAGCCTCCTTGTCAAGGCCTCCCAGCTGAAGCGCGATCTCCCCGAGATCAGCCCCACCGAGCAGCTCGTCCAGCAGGAAAAGGAGATGATCGAACACCTATCCGACCGCAAAACACTCATGTCCGTCCGCGAGCTGGCGAAGGGCATCACCTACACCGATCCCATCCCCACCGGGTGGAAGCCGCCGCTCGCCATACGCCGCATGCCCGCTCGCCACGCCGATGCCATCCGCCGCCAGTGGCACATCCTCGTCGAGGGCGAGAACGTGCCTCCCCCCATCAAGAACTTCCGCGACATGCGCCTCCCCGAGCCCATCCTCAAGAAATTGAAAGAGAAGAGAATCGTCCAGCCGACGCCGATCCAGGTGCAGGGACTGCCGGTGATCCTAGCGGGGCGGGATATGATCGGGATCGCGTTCACTGGCTCGGGAAAGACGCTGGTTTTTGTTCTCCCGTTGATTATGACGGCATTGCAGGAGGAGGTCATGATGCCGATCGTCCCTGGAGAGGGCCCATTTGGGCTTGTGGTATGCCCGTCGAGGGAGCTCGCGCGACAGACGTATGAGGTTGTGGAGCAGTTCCTTGTTCCGCTGCGGGATCATGGATACCCGGAGCTGAGGCCGCTGCTATGTATTGGCGGCGTCGATATGAGGTCGCAGCTGGAAGTTGTGAAGAAAGGGGTGCATATTGTTGTGGCTACTCCAGGGAGATTGAAAGATTTGCTTGCAAAGAAGAAGATGAATCTTGATAATTGCAGGTATTGTTGCATCATAATTAGCAAACTGCTAATTATGATAATTGTCTTAAGAATATTTGTCTTCACATATGTTTTGAATTTCTGAATTATTCTTGTGCTAATGCTTCGCTGTTACTGATTAACTGTACCTACAGTATTAATCTAACCAAGAGTTCTTGAATGATATTCTTTCATGCTCTATGATCCTCCTGCACTGGACTTCCTCATGACATTGTTGACAGGTTTTCTCTGAATGGTAGCATTTTATTCCAGTTTTGAGTTTGGTTGGATTACTTCTTTACCATGTAAGTTCGAGCAATATTTGGTCAGCCATGAAATTTGCCTTTCATTTTAATTTCATTGACTTGTATGATTGACAAGAACTTTTGAGGTATTTTCTTCATATTTAGATTCTTCAGTCGGAAAAACTATTGCCAGCACTCTTTGGACACCCTTATACTCGATAGGAAAGTTGTGTAGTGTGGCACACCATTCTTTTTTGTTGATTCCTCGGACATCATCTTCTAGCTTTTCATTACACTAATTTTTTTGTACATGGGCGGAAATGATCAAGTAGAGAGCTTCATGAACTGACGTTGAGTCAACATAAATGAAATTATGATTCTGGAATTAGATGACAACGTCAATATCTGACCTATACATTGTCAGATAATAAATAATGACTATTCTACGAACGAACTTTGTGAAGCTGGTGTTAATAACAGTCTGATTAGAACTTTAAATTACTGTTAGCTATGCTGTAGAATCTAATACAATTAGCTTATTGTGGAATCATAAGATTATTGATTTCCCATATCATAATGCTAAGAAGTTATTCCACATACTGTCACTTGCAGCCTTAATTACCTTTGAATACAAACACTATATACAGGCAAGGAAAAAGACATCTCTTAAAATATACTTCTTGATTGTATTGCCAATGGTCAGCTCTGAATCTTTTCCAGTTTTCTCATCAACGTCCTTTACTTCTTTCTTGTGGTTGGCTATATGGATTGTTTCATGTTACTGATATTTGTTAATGGAAAATGTTACTAGTCAAACTAATAGACAGCAAATTCCAGTAGTAATCTTTAATCACCGGGCCAGCCTAACCATGTGGACAAATATGAAGTCTTTTATCCCCATCTCGCAGAACAATACAAGAACTATTTACTTGTGAAGCTTTGGAAAATATAAGAGCTAGTTTTGTAATTTTCCAAAGCTTGTTAAGAATAAGTGATTTCTAAAAGAAATATTTTTATTTAATAAGTAGTTTTTTTTTAAAAAAAATTTAAGCTTTCTTGGATCAATTTACTGAATAATTTGGAAGCAAACATCCCTAAGTTATATAAGTGTGTGAATCAAGGCAATCATTTCAGTAGAACATGTATAATTAATGATAGTTTCAGAAAAATATGGATTATTCCTTCTACCTGCACTAGAAAATTTATTTGTGGTTAATAAATATTTTTAGATCCTTGTATCATTTATGCAAAGGCAGCACAGATTCTCATATATATTATCAGAACAATTGCAACAACCACCCCCTCTCTCCTCCTCTTTTTCTAATATCTGACCTTTTTGTTTGGGTTGAAATATATGAAGACTGAGCCATCTTCCTATTCATTTATGTGATCTCACATTTTTGCTACAGGTACTTGACACTGGATGAGGCTGATAGGCTGGTGGACTTGGGCTTTGAGGATGACATACGGGAGGTTTTTGACCATTTTAAAGCCCAAAGACAAACCCTACTCTTCTCTGCTACCATGCCAAAGAAGATCCAAAACTTTGCAAAAAGTGCTCTGGTGAAACCTGTGACAGTCAACGTGGGAAGAGCCGGAGCAGCAAACCTTGATGTCATTCAAGAGGTTGAGTATGTGAAACAAGAGGCTAAAATTGTATATCTTCTTGAATGCCTCCAAAAGACACCTCCTCCTGTCTTGATTTTCTGTGAGAATAAAGCAGATGTGGATGACATTCATGAGTATCTGCTTCTTAAGGGAGTTGAGGCCGTTGCCATTCATGGTGGCAAGGACCAGGAAGAAAGAGAATATGCCATTGCATCCTTCAAATCTGGCAAGAAGGATGTATTGGTTGCTACAGATGTTGCTTCCAAGGGCCTTGATTTTCCTGACATCCAGCATGTGATCAACTATGATATGCCTGCTGAAATTGAGAATTACGTCCATCGGATCGGCCGAACTGGAAGGTGTGGCAAAACAGGAATAGCAACAACATTCATAAACAAGAACCAAACAGAGACGACACTCCTCGACTTGAAGCACCTCTTGCAAGAAGCAAAACAAAGAATTCCGCCAGTATTGGCAGAGCTTAATGACCCGATGGAAGATGGTGATGCTCTTACTGATGCTAGTGGAGTAAAAGGTTGTGCATACTGTGGTGGGCTTGGTCATCGAATCCGAGACTGCCCAAAACTGGAGCATCAGAAATCCATGGCTATTGCTGGTTCTAAAAGGGACTACTTTGGTTCAGGAGGCTATCGGGGCGAAATATGATCCTGCTTCTTGTATCTGTATATACGGCGAACTATTGCGGGATTTCCATTAATGACCAAGTTTTTACTATGTCTAGATGTCTGTAAACCAGGAAACATTTCTGTAATCAGATATTACAACCCACCTTAAAATTCACAGTGCCCAACTTTTTTCAGTTGGATGGTGGAGAACTCCTTTGCTGTAGAGCAACATATCAGCTGCCAAATTTGTATGGAGTTTAGAAGTTATTTTAGCATCTTGAAACACATCATAATGTGAAAACATCAACGTGAATGCAGCCGAGTGATGCATTGCTTGTAATATAAGTGAGACATCAGTTTAATTATGGAAGCCAACTAAATGCTCATCATCTTCAGGTTGCTTGTTGATTGTTATGATGATGTTGCTACTGTTTGGTAATTGACTGTTGATTGTATTTTGGGTTTAAAGCCTTATGTACATATGCTGCAAAATCTAATTTTATCGACCGTATGCTTAATCGATGTATATATATAATTTTATTTGGTTAACCTTCTTTACTTCTTTTTCCTACGTAATAACGATAATTTATTTGGTTAACCTTCTTTACTTCTTTTTCCTACGTAATAACGATAAGGGGAGCATACGAGAAATTATTTTGATTTTTAATTCCTAACATGTGAAAATATAGGAAAAAAAATAAAAGATTATTTTGTCAATTTGATTTAGTTGACATGATAAATTCAACCAATTAAACTTAATTCTCATAAACATGTCATCATAGTGTTCCGCTATTATTTAAGATTGGCTACAGGATCTTTATATACCTATTTAAATTTTCAGTTAAACAATCAGCTACTTAAAATTTTCTATTACTGCTAGTGAGTCTTTCTATTTCTCATTAAAAATTCAAATAAATTCAAAACCTACTAACAATAACATTTATGCCTCAATCACAAAATTATTGCTTATGATATATATTTTAAAGTAACTTCGCCTCAATATTTTTATCTTAACTGTACTAACTATTCCACACAGTAAGGCTGTGCTCGTCCTGTGGCACGCAGCGGTGCAAGCATGTGCCGATCACTCCACGGTCGCCGTGGCCACCGGTGAGCAAAGCCGCCACCTTTAAGCACGAGATCCTCCACATGACCAAAGGTACGCAACTCTTTTATCTCTTCAGGCTTTCTCCGGTCGCTCTCTTCCTCGTCTCCTCTCCTGCTTCGTCGACTTGCGCTTCCGAGGCGTTTCTGCTAGCTAGGGATGTATCTCCACTACACTTTATAGTGCGTGATGGTCCAACCTGCATCGAGAGAAAGGTCATGGTGGCTCGACTATAGTTACTGATCTCTATGTACGTGTGTTTTCTTGAACAGTATCTCGTGCAGATGTTGTATGATCTTGATGGCTCCGGTGCAAGGACGATGCTCCTTCTCTACAACATCCATCTCCTTGGTGCTCTTTATCTGCTGCAGTGAGTAGGAGATACCTCGATCTGGAATCCCTCAGGTCATGGGCGAGGAAGCTGATGACTCCGACGACAAAGCTGACGAGGAGTTGCTTGCATCGACAGACAGCTCAAAACAGCAGAAGGTGGCTGCTCCACCGTCGTGTATGTACTATATGTCTCGACCAACCGGAGGCATTTTTTAAGGGAGAACACAGCAGAATCCACTCATGAAAGCTGAAGTGATCGGGTCTCCAATCTGTGGCTAAAGGAAGAAGAAAGAAACCAGTGCAGCTGAATGGGAGCACATGGGTTACACCAACTCTACTGTCATACTCCCATTCTCGCATGCTTTGGCATAAAGCTCTGCAAGAGAATAACACCACATTTCTGGATGATTGGATGCTACACGCAGATGGCTCCTTTGGAGTCCCATCGTCGCTGAGCTGTTTGTATCCACTTTTCTTCTCCCTGAGAAGGTAAATGGCTCCCTTTCAGTTTTATCACCACTTCGATTCTATCTTCATACCTCAGACCACTGTGAAGCTAACGAAGAAGATGACTTAGCAGTCTATGGATCTACGAATGCCCAAAGTAATTCAGGGAAGAAATAGGAACACCCTTCAGAGACTCGGATCCATGCAACAAAGGGAAAAAGAAAGCAGAGCTGCATCAGCCACTCACTCGAGACCATAACCTTTTTCATCGGGCCCCACAAGAGGAGCCAAACAAGAATCCAACACCAACCTCCCATGGATTTGGTTCCTTTCTACCGCGCCATCAATGTCCGGTGGTAGATTCGCCTGCTCGAAACATCAAACTATCATATGTCCCAGTCGCACCACCAACGACAGCAAACCTCAACCGGGGTTCGGGGTAGGGTTAGGGTTAGGGACGCACGCAAGCACATATGATGGGTGCGGATGACATGTCGCGTATAGACACTCTTTTAATTCAATGGAGGTGTACTATATCTCCTGCTTTTGTCGTTCATAGATTCCCTCTCTCCCGCATGGAAAGCCCTAGGCCAAAAGAGCTTGGGTTTCCGGATCGAACACTCGCTGATCCCTCCCGTCTCTCTTGCCCCGAGCTAGCCTTCGGTTTGGCTGAAGATTGAAAGCTGAATCGCAGTGGAAGAAGCAAGAGAGTTCGCGTTCGGCTTCCTCGTAGAAGGTACTCATTCTTTGCCCAGGTTCGAGTTCAAGTTCAGATTTTTTTTCTCCCTTTCTTGTTCACCTCTCGTCTATCGCTTAACTTTGTTCCGAAATTTTGTTTGTGATTGATGGGTGTTGGCTTCTGGGATTGTTTCTTGTTAGGTCTACTGGTTGTAGTACGATTAGGGATGTGGTCTAGAAAATGGGCGTGAAGGAGTCTTCTTTTCTCATGTGGATTGCGGCTCATTGTTGGGCCGTAGGATCTCTTGGCCTGTCCGTTCATTTTCGGAGGTGGGTGGTCGGCAAAGCATGGGTTAGATGAGGTGTATCACGTTGCGTCTTTCTTGCCACTTTTATCATTTTATGTAGGAAACTTTGATTTTTATAGAGCTTGTTTACTGCAGCTTGTACTCATCTTGCTTTGTATGATGATCTTCCTGTTCTGGCTTGAATTGATGTGCCCACTATTTAACCTAGGTTATGGTTGTATATTATTATGGGAAGTTGGATAAAGCCCCTGTTAGCCCTACTTCCCCTAAAGAAAGCATCATTGTTTGTCCTAAGTCTAAAGTAACAGTTTATTTACTGATTTTGGCTCATTTTTTTTATGATTAGTTTTCAACAGGCAGAGGTTGCTTGATGTCATGACCTTAATTCTCATCATGAATGGAACTTCAAAATATTGTTTCTCTTATTTCTCATGTTGCAAGTTTGATATTCTTATGGTAATTAAAACGCTATCTTTTCTTAAGTGCGTGTGACTTGTTCAGTTTCTGTTGAGCTGGTCAAACAGCTCCACTTCTCTGATGAAGATGCAAAATTAATACCAGAGTGAGTCTGACTTGATTATAAATAAATTTAAACATCTTGTGATTAATGGCTTGTTTTTTTTGTGTAATTGGGGACTGCTTTAAGTTAGTCGGTCCATTCAGTAATATACACATTGTTTGTTTTCACCTTCATGTTGGCAATGTACTATTCTGTAAGCACAAGTTTTCCTTCTCCTTCCATGAGTTTGCTGTGATAAGCGGTGTGGCCGTGGTCCATCAAAGTTCTTTTTGGAATGTTGTTCTCATGCTTTTGTTTCCTCTTTTCAATTTATTCTGTTGCATTATTGCGGAAATCTGCAATATCATGAATCAAAGCAATTATCATTAATCTTATATAATTGAGTCATGACTAAATCTTAACTATGTTAGAGTTAGAATCTTCATTGAGAATTTTTAATTGTTTTTAATTATATACAGTTTTGTACTATGTAAATGACAAATCAGCTGATTAATTTAAGCAACTTTTGTAAACAAGTGGATTATACTTTCATAAATCCTTATTTAATGTATTCAACCTCGGTATGTTTTTTATAAGCTGTTGTAATGTGAATACCTTGGAAAAGGAACAATCAATTTTGACCAGCTATTTTTCTGATGCATGATAATATACATGTACATGGGACTGGATCTTCTATTATATCTCACCGATATTTAAACTATTTTGCAGCGTTTACACTAAATAAGTCTGATGTGACTGCTGCTTGGAATTATGGTAGCTTAAGTTACATTCTTAATTCACATATTTACAGCAAGAAGCAGGTCTAGTTTAAACTCATACAACCTGCTGGAGATGATTTTGAACATTATTTCAAGCTATGGAAGTAGCAGTAAAGGAGCTCAATGCTGAAGGAAAGGAATCTGCACTTGTAACTCATGGCAAGCACGATGGAGATGAGTGCAACCATTTTACCATCCGGTATTCCCACTATTCACCTGTTTTTAACTGTTTAATCTACTTCCTCAAGAATTAGCATGCAAAACTCTTTTAAAACTTGGCATTATGAATGAAATGCTGTATTGCTGCTAACGTATTTGCTTTAGTGACTTTATTCTGGTTTAATTACAATTTTGTTAATGTTAAAACTGTGATTGAATAACAAAACAGAGTAGCTTACGTATTGAGTGCAAGAAACATAAATCAACTTGTTTATAACATATTACTTTCTTGTTACTTGCTTTAGTACTTAATGATTGAGGCATTTACTTTCAAGCAGCGGTTATGTTGCTGGTGTTCGGAAGAGAGATGCAAAGATTTGCTGGCCATTATATATGGCCGGGAATGAAAGTTCAGATGCACTTTCAAGCATGCTGCCTCCGCTACATGTTTCTAAGTTCAAGCGATGGAGTTGCCTGAACTGTCTTCATACAATTTGCGCTTCTGCTGATGTAACAGGAAGTGCAAACTTTACAAATGTATGTAATGAAGATATGAAGACAAACAACTCCATATTTCTTTTTGATCTCAATGCAAAAAGGTTGTTTTTTTCTGGTCCTAAACAGTCTTTTGAAACCGTCATACTTGAGGAGAGACCAGTTTCAGACTGTATTATCAAAGTCAGTCATGGTGAACATAGCCCAGTACCATATCACGGCAACAAAAATAATGAGTCCAAAACAGATGATGCGGCAAAAGAAGGTACCTGGTTTGTGACTGTGTCATACATATTTCATTAATTCTCATGAATCATCATGGTCATTTCTTCCTCTTAACAGGATACCATGTATTCACATATAGAAATTTTAGAACGGAAGAAAAAGAAAATCATTCATGCAAGTCTATCACTGCTGTGGCTGAAGGTGAAGAATTTCAAGCAGGACAAAGCCAAAAAAGAAACACGACAAATAAGGAAAACAAGTTTAAGGCAGCTCTTCTTTTTGATGATGCTTCTCCCAAGGTTGGTGCCGAACCAAATGGAGGTATGAGGATTGGGCTTTTTGATGCAACTATAATTTTCAGAGGCACTGATCTTGCAGCATGTGAAAACAAAGATGATGAAGGGATTACTGCAAAAGGCAACATAAATATAGTGCCTGATGGCATGACCAAAGAAAGTAGAAAGTTAGTTGGGGTTGATCTCTGCATCCCAGAAGACGATGTTCTAACTACTACTGCTGCTAATCTCCCTAATTATGATTTGATGACATTAGACCAGAACAATGATGAAGCATCATATGGTAATAAGAATTTATCAGATGGCATGTATTTTAGCCGAAACCAGAAATGTGTGTCTAGCAGTTCACATAGAAAAGTGACCCAAAAAAGGGTTCTTAAGCTACGTTTGCTGGAGGACATTATGAAAAATGAAGAGTTACACATATCAAAAAAGATACATACTTTTAAAGGAAGTGCGGATACATGTGAAAAGAGCCACAAAAGATCAGATGAATGGAAATGTGAAATCCATCCTGAAGACTATAAAAAAGGCAATTTCTTCAGGCAGAATTGCAAAGTGATACCAGCGAAACCTATTAATGCTACAGAAGCTACTCACAGCAAAGATGAGGAAATTTCTCTAATGCATTGGCTAAAGAAGGTTTCTAAGAAAATTGTCACTGATGATTCTCAAAGAAAGAAAAACATTGTTGGAAAAGGATATGCTGAAATCAAGTGCATAGAGAATAAGGTTGTTACATCTCCCAGTACACATAAAAAGAAGGATGCTGATCCTCTTTCAAAAGGTTCTAGAGCGAGTAAATATAGTAAAAGTTGTACTGTTGAGAAGAAAAGTAAGTTTACTCGACTAAAACCAAGTGCCCATTGCCTCAAGCCCCAGCTGGAAAATTTGATATCTAAAGATGCATCGGTGAAACATGTACCTCCTGAAAATGTTTATCCTCAACTGAGAAACATAATTTCTGAAGATATTTTGCCCCCTTGTCTTGAAAATCTAGAGAGGAGTTGTGAGCAGAAGTCTGAATTCAATAGAAGGAAAAGGAAGGCGTTTCAAGTTAAGGACAGAAATCCTTCCCAAATAAACTGCTCAAAGGTATGCATGCAAAGTCTATCCTTCTAAATATAGAAAGCAGACAGCTCATTTACTTTTATTTTTTAGCTCCTTTTCCATATGGTTTTCAACTGACAAGAACAGAATCCTCTTGTAGCGATAAATATTCTGTTCTGTTCATTCTCTTTTTGAGATTTTAGTTAAAGGTCTCGGCATCCTCGTATTCAAGCATGGTATATCTTAGAATCTTATAGTTCATTCTGTTGCAGTCGAATAATTGTTATGAAGAAATCATATATGTGAATGCTGTGCATTGTTAACTAGGTCATATTATCTTTTTTTGTTCTTCGGTGTTGAGTTTCATGTGATTTAGTAGACATTTTTATTAACTGTAGCATGTTATATTAGAATGAATAACCAGGAAAGTTAAATTTTAGATCTGTTATCGACAGAACAATCTCTGTATTTGCTTATTCTTCTTGGGAAAGCTGATACTCTTTTAGGTTCTTATATTCTGCTGGTTACAATATTTTCAACATAGTTTCTCGTTGTGTCTCAGTGGTATATCATTTTTTGTTGATAAGTTCTCAGTGAAACAAATAATGTGACTGATGATAAATAATCTTCTCTTTTCATCACACATGTGCATGCTTGTTTTTGAATGCAGAAACAAGTGATAAAGAAACAAAGAAACATGATGCCTCTTGAAAAGAAAACTGTGGATGACATTCCAATGGATATTGTTGAACTCCTAGCTAAAAACCAGCATGAAAGAAGTATGATGAATGCTGAGGTTTCTAACATGAACAAACATGAGTTGTCAATGATGAATGGAGAGTTGAGACATGGAATTTATTCAAATGTAACTGGATATTGTGGAAGCAAGTTTCCAAAGGCAATATATCAGAGACAGGCCAATGATACAGTACTTTGTATTCCTACTGCTCCTCATGGTAACCAGAATGACGTGTATGGACCAGAAGCCTGCAAAGCTATCGAGTTCCAGAAACATGCCCTTATTGATCTGAACCAACAAGCTGCAGATTTTCTGGCAATTCCACAATATGATGGATACCAACCCTGTACAACTCACCATTCTGCTGTTGATTCTAAGAAAACCAGTTCTTTTCAAATTTCTTCTTGGGATAGAATGAGGATGCAAGATTCAGGATTATATCAAAAGAATCAGGGAGTTTCAGCTCAGAGATCATGTGGAGGACCTATCCATGATATGTCGTCACTATCGTTAAATGGCAGAATATTTGGAGTCAATAAAAGGAAAGTTGATACTTGTCACAATCACGGGAAAATGGTTCCTTTTGATTCATTTCTTGATACAACTCAGAAGATCGTTCCTCAAAAGACTGGTTATCAGGAATCAGTGAATTTAACCAGCTCCAATCTCCCATATGGGGAAGGAAAATCCGAGCAAACAACAAATGGAATAGCTCTACCAGGCAGATCATATCTCATGGAACGAGCAAGTAGGTGCCATCCAGGAAGAGCAGGGACGATAGATATGCATAACAATGAAACAGTATCGGCGTTGCATTTGCTTAGGCTAGTTGATCAGGCAGCTCAGTCAGGTCCATCATGGGATATTAATTGTACAGGAATTACCCAAGACTCCCGCTTAAATTATAATCGTCAATCCAGTGAGATGCATGGAGCAGAAGTTGGAGTTAAAAATAGAAAGACCCAGGAAATTCCATCCACCACTGGATACTGTGCTCATGATCAAACCGAAGGTGGTTTCAGCAGCCCTTGCCATCCATTTCCTCGAATAGGTGCTCTTGGTTCTTTGCTGCAAAATGAAAACATGACTCTTTCATACAAATCTCTGGCACCATTGGGTTCTAAAGCTGTGTGTTCTGCTGAACTGCCATCTTTCTGCATCTATGACATGGACAAAATAGATGCTCCTTCAGCCAGTAGTACAAAATACAGAGACAACAAAAACCCTCCATCTGTGACTACAAATACCAAGCAGATTGTTTCGGCTGATCAGGTTGGAATCAACAGAAAGGGTGAACAAGTCCAACCTTTGAGTTATGATCCCATGACTATAACCTGCGTTATCAATCGAAATCCTGCTGACTTCAGCCAACCTGATGAAGACAATATTTACATGCGAGGAAATGACTGAGCTCTGAAATATCAAACTCTCATCATGACGGGAAGAAGTGTCAGGTGCTGAAGATGCTACTAAGATGCAGCTTTCTCCCTCGAAAAAAGGTGACAATCGATGGATGACACATCCTACCAGCTTATATCTTTCATCAGTAACTCTTCTGTGGCCTATTCTTGTACGCATTTATATGATTACATATGATCTATAATTTGGGTTTGCTAATGTCTGCCTCCAGCAATGTCTCAAAGGTAGCTTTAAAGCGTGCAGTGATGATGATGATCCATTATCATCAACACGAGTTTAATCGTCTAGATGTAATAGTTATCATACCTAATCAAATCATAAATAGATTTTATAGTGTATAGATCACCACATGTCTAAGCATGATACCCCGGTGGGGCCCACCACGTGTATTGCGGAGGGCCCCACGGAAAGGATAAATAAATAGCCTGAACCCTGTCGGGACGAAGGCGGGTGAGCTTCAGGTTCCCCGACAATTAAAGCATTCATCAGACGGCTGGCATCGCGATGCTCATGGGCCACCGAACCCGGGGATGGATTGGGGAGCGTCGAGGCCATTTCCCCTCTGTCGAAGCCTCCAAACCTACCCACCGTCACCGTTTCCTTACCGATCGTCCCAAGTCGATGACAGCGAGACCATATAGAAATCGAAGCACCAATACTTCTCCTCTCTTTCTTGATTCTTTTGGTTTTCTTTTCTCTTGGGTTTACCGCGGTGGGATCCAGTGACGGAGCTATTCTGGCGGTGGTTAGTCAATGAGCGCGAGAGTCGTTGGGAGACGATTACTGCTACTGTCGGGGCTACATTATGAGCGCATTCAAAGTTTCCTACCGTCTCTCCCCTCTTTTTCACGACCTCCTCTTTATCTCTTCAAGATCCTCCTCCCCGTTATCGCTACTCCAATCTCGCCTCTTCTCAGGTGAACGCTCTCTTTCACCTTTTTTTATTTGTTTTCTTCTCGATCCGTTCCCAGGTTTCTTGATCCGTGAGTGGGGTTTGATGTAACCGGGTTTCTTATTTCTTGAGCTACGATAGGCTGGTTTTTTGGATTATTTGTGAGCCTTGATATGTTGATCGGAGGGTTTCATCATTTTCTTGTTTCTTGCGTGATAATAGGTTGCCTTTTTGGATTCTATGAGAGCCTTGATGTTTTGTAGGAGAGACTCATCATCATCCAATCGATGTGGCTGACGATTTACAAAGCATGTCTTGGAATTTCATGACCATACATTCGAATCTCTAGCATAGATTCAAAAATAAATGAATATTTTCTTGAAACTTGTAAAGGAGAAAGGAACTTCCTAAAATGATCCAAGATATGCGTGTTTTCAAAGTGACAATATGCAAGAAATTGAGAGTTGGCCTTCAACAATAGCTTCTTTCTTGTAGGCTTATAGTCAACCTGAGCACTTCATCATCAAAATCAGATGGACCTTTGACCTCTTCAATTGTTTCACTGAACGAATCAGAAATTCTTTGGTCGTTTGTCTTCTGCTCTAGACAGATTATAGATGAACAGTTCCACATTTACGCCCTCTATCAGCAGGTTAAACAGGTTCAAACTAGCTTATTATTATGTCATCTCATTTAAAGCTTTTGAAGTCTCTTCAACTAGTAGCACATTATGTAGCTTCATATTAAGAATTAGAAGTTTCTGCATAATTAGATTGAGTCCTCTCCTTCCTACTTTACGCGGAAGTCGGTATTTATGCTACAAAACTTTTGTTCTGTGAATTGATCACTAATAACAGTGGTGTCATCATAAAATCTCCTCTTAAAGTTATATAACATGAAATGTAATCCTAGTTTTTGCTATATAGCTCATAATACCAGACCATCATCTGGTACATTCATGGAAGTTGTTAAGGCAGCACTCAGCCATGTCTATGCGACTCAAGAACGTGCTGTTATAAGGGCTGAACAAAAAAGCTATGGTTATGCTCAAATCGTCGCTTCAGCTGTGAACATCTCAAATTTATTGCATGATGCAGATGTTAAAACTGTACGTATGATTTTTATGAATTGTGCTTATGCTTTCTTGTCTAATGTATTACATAGTATATTTTAATTACAAATAGACCTTATTAAATTTAATTTTCCAACTTGAAAATATATGATAACAAACTGTGGAAATCATTGGTATAATACATGTAATTTTTTTCGTGCATATGCTTTCTTGTGCCATGCAATTTATGTTTTGAAGGTTCACATTATGTGTAGACATGCACAAGTATACAATGCTATTCCATGGAAGTGCTATATTCTATGGATGTGGCTTTGTGAATCAGTGTTATTCTGATGTAACTAAATTAGCCAATTGTTGCTGTCGACCATTTGCAAGGATTGCTGACATCTCGACATTGTTGCATGCTCACTGGATCCAAAGCATAAGGAAACAGAAAAACTTACCATCTTGCAGCATAGTACTGTAATGATGAAGTAGGAATTAGGTTACAGCTGCTGTTCTATTTTCATATTTGCTAGTTACTACCTCTGGCCAAATCTTGATCTGAGGAAGAGATATAGGAGCCAAATAGGTACATATTTGGATCAAATCAGGATCTTTGATAAGAAATAGCAGAGGGAGAGGACAGGAAGAAACAAGGAAACAGTTGGTAAGGTCAGAGAATCAAAATAACTTACATATTTTTTAATTTATTAAAATTCCATGTCAATCTGTAGTATTTATCTGCAGAATTTTTATGCCTTCTAACCTACCTAATTTTACCACCCATTAACATGTTTCTTATGTATTTAAGATACTTGACACACTCCTAGAATTCCTTTATATTTTCCTAATCATACATAAAATGTGAAGGTGATGCTTGAACTACCTAGCAAGTGTGTGAAAAATGAACTTTGCACTAAATAAAACTACTTTAGTAACATTAAAATATGTCATCTAAGTTGAATAATTTATTAAGCTCTAAAACCTGTATATTAGAAGGATCAGAGGACAAGGCTCTTATATAATTTGAAATGTGATTATACATAATCTTTGCTGAAGTAGTTTCCTTGAGTGACACAGGTGAACGAAGGGTGCACAGCTTCAGGTTCTGCTGAGGTTGTCAATGGATCAAGATACCTTCATGGTACTCGGGTAGGGATTGTGGCTAAACCTTCTGCTGAATTTGTTGGGGCAATCCTTGGTACATGGCTTCGTGGAGGAGTGGCAGTTCCTCTCGCTATAAGCTATCCAGAATCAGAGCTTTTGCATGTGATGAATGATTCAGTATGTACTGCACATATTCTCTTTATCTATGTTTTCATGGAATTACTACTAGAGCTGTGATTTATGGGTTGGCCAAAAGTAATTGGGGAGCAAGGTTCATCGTAAATAGGCGTACCGCTCAGTACGGGTGGTACATATCAATCCGACAGGGGATCAATATGGATGGTACATCAGTATGCTCCCATGTACTATGTGTTGGTACTCTTGGTACGGCTCGATATAACTCAGTATATATTGTACTGTAGCTGGTTGATACACCGATATGGACTGATAAGGCGAACCATGCTGGGAAGAGTTACAATAAAAATAAGTTCATGTTTAATAAGCCATTCGACTTTTCTTCGTTACCCTGGTTTAGAGATGGTGCAATTATTCATTTAAGAAGAGAAGAACTTGTATCAATTATTTGCCCTTTTGGTACCAATATCTGGTTTTTTGTGATTATTTGAAATTTGACAAATGATTTTGTGAAGGACTCTGCTGTCTGGACCAATTCAAACCATTATATTAGCCTTATCTTCAAAATTACATATTAGCATCAATTTTGTAAAATGAAGTTGTCCATTCTTATGAATTTTTGTTGGATTTCTGATACCATAATTTTGAGGTTCAATATTCTGTAATAATCTTGAATGTGTATTATTTCAATCATCAAATTGATGTTAATATTTCAAAGGCTCTCCATGCAATTCTGTTTTGGTGAATGATCAAGATCACCATTATATATAGTTGGCCATTGATAACACTAGTTCTTTTTAAATTCTTTTTTCATAGTGTCTTTTCACAAATTTATCAATATTGACCTTTATAATGTTGTTACCAATTCTCCTTTTAGGTTCAAATAATTTTCTTCATTTATATATTAAGTTTCTTTGATGTTCTTCAACAATAAAACAGTAAATGTGATTTTCGATTGGCAAGCTACAGTGATAAGACAATGCTGCACCTAAAGTGGCCCACTTTTCAAAAGTGAAGTGATCCAGAGTCTTTTAGAAATTATTGAACTTATACACATATCTGTCTGTTGCCAATTTACTCTTTCTGTTGTGTGGTTGAGCTCTATATTATTATCATCACTTCCCCTTCCCTCTCACTTTCTCCTCTTGTGCTCCAGGTTCATAATGCTGATTCTAGAGAAAAAAAAAGACTAACATGTTCTTGTTTATAGGATGTATCCATGATACTGAGCACTCCAGAGCATCAAGAAACCATGGAGAACGTGGCTGCTAAATGCTCTGCTAAAGTTTCACTAATTCCAACGGTCACCAGTATGCCATCAAACAATATGTTCAGTGAACATTCAAGGGAAGAAGCTATTGGTTTGGTTGTTGAGTTGATAAGGGAAATTGAGGATTCATGCATGATTAAAGGTAATTCATGTCTCCCCATACCTTTAGCTTTTACTTCCCTTTACCAAGCCTTTTGAGTAATAAGCCTTTCTTATGCTTTTGTGCTGAATCTAAGTTGGATTTTATTTCCACAGTGATGTGCTAATAAAAAAGTAGATTGGAAATTTCACTCTTGCAATGCGATTGGACTTTATTGCATATAACTTCGGGGATATGTTCCTAAATTATCTGATCTTCTAGTTTACCATGCACTTTTGTTGCTATACTACTTTCTTTCGGTGTTCAATGTGACACTATCTAGGTTGCATTTGTCAGAAAATATTTTATGATGTCCACCTGTCTATCATTGGTCATTTTGGCATAGGTGGTATATTGATTCCCGTACTTGGTTTGTGCTTTTACTAGTAATTGGTTGGTTCTGTGCTTTTAGTACTTATCAGCAATCGATTCAGGTTCTTGACTTGTTATGTAGGAGATGATCCTGCTCTGATTCTTTACACGAGTGGTACAACGGGTAAACCTAAAGGTGTTGTCCACACACACAAGAGCATAATTGCTCAGGTAAACATGTTGCTTCTCCTTCTGTTAATTGATTCCTGGAACGTTAGGTCGATCTGCA